ATTTGTCTTCAACATAGTGCAAATTCTTGGTAGGCTTTTGCTGATTAAGCTTTATTGTGGTAAGAAATATTTGTTGAAAGTCAACTTTGAGACATCGAGTTAACCGTCTCTCATCGAAAAAATTGTTCAAGAAACCGGGTGGCTACTGGCTAACATGTTAATTTATGCAATAAACTGAATGAAACAGGGCGGGGCTGACGTCACAAGTCTGTTTGAGGTTTGAACGCCAGTTGTTATTACTTAAATGAAAAATGGAATTGCGATTTGTACTGATTGTGAATATAAAGCATAAATACCGCTCAGTAATTAGTAATTTTAGCTTAAGCTTCGTTGATGCCGGGATTGCCGGCAATTCTCAACTCGCTTACTGCAATAGAAACGCGCTGGCTCTAATAGTAATAATACCCAAAATTAAATTTTTATCTGTTTAGATGTTCCAGAAATAGATGATAAACTTATTTCAAACGTTAGAATAAATTTTAAGATCATGGTTGAGTGTGGACTGTGGTCTGTGTGTGTGTGTGTGGACCAGCAGCCTGCAGGTCACCAGTGGAGCTCCAGTGGCAGTTGCAGTTTGGAATTTCAGGCAGATTTTCCCAAAAAATTGCGGGTGATAATGGGATTTTCATGAGTCAGTTTTGAGAAAATTGTGGGTGACATTTTTCACATAAAAGATAGGTACCAAGTTATTGTTTGTTCCTGCCCATGATTTTAGAAAACTTCTGCCCATTGGGCAGAAGTTTGGGCCCAGCACTACAGTACTCAGTACTACTGAGTACTGTAGTGCTGGGCAGCTGGAACACTGCTGCCGTCCTGATGGATCTGAATTCTGAATGACCATCCAATTCTTAGAATTCCACCATTCAGATAATTTCACCACTTTTAATGGCCTTTTATCTATATTCCTATGCCATTTAGTAATCTCTTTTATGAAGTTTGAAAAATTTCCCAAGAAACCCAGTTTGTGGATTATTGGGCACTCAGTACTCACTGACACAAGGAACAGGGGTGAGGGGGGGCTGCAATTTGAGGGCCCTCCGAGCATAGTGGCAATTTAACTGGCAAAGCAGAGAGTTTTTTAGACTCACCCTCAAGTTCATTTTTGAGTCCTATGACAGTAAAACTTATAAGTAGACCAGTAAAGTATCCTGGATACCAGCATCATCATACGTAAGAAATTGGTTTAAATCTTGGGTAAATGAGGAAATTAAAAATGAACTGATTCTAAAAAATCTCTGGTTGTCACCAGTGGTGGGCACAGTTCCGATAATCCGCTAACCGCTAATTAGCGAAGCTAACTTTTTCCTTATCGGATTAGCTGTTCAGCTAACTTTGAAAACCTTTAGCAGACCAATTAGCTTCCGCTAAATTTAGTTCCGCTAACTGGCAGTCCGCTAAAAATGTTTAAAAATCTCTGATTTAATGCTAAGATTGTAACCCGTGTGCCACGCCCACACTGACGGCTGACTACGTCATCATATGTTCGTCAGCCAATCACCGTGAATCACGTCTTGTGTTATTGGCAGTAACACAAGACGTCCTATACTGCAGTCCTCTGGTGGACGCAATGCTGGCAGGCATCACGAAAAGGTTTTGGTCCCTCCTAGAAGACAAGGAGTGCCAGCTGGCAGCGGCCTTCCACCCCAAGTTTTGCCTGTTCTGGCTGGAAAAGCATAATCACAGCCATCTCAGCAGGGTACAGAAGGCCATGGAGACCGCCGTGGAGACAGCCATGAGGGAGACCGTTGAGGAGGGCAGCAGCACCACTGGCAATGACGAGGATGGGGAAGATGACTTCTTCAGCAGCATTACTCAGCCCATGGAGTGCAGGAGGAGCCACGGGTCACTGTAGTCCAAGGCATAGAATTTGGTGAAGACCTGTCTGGAAAGCAGCTCGAAGGAGGAATTGACTGACGTTGCCTTATTAGGCGAGCAGGTGTTGATAAACCTTTTCGTTAATTACAACACAGCCATCCCATCCAGTGCTGCAGTTGAGCGCCTGTTTTCATAGGCAAGGACATCTTGAGTGCCAAGAGAGCCACCCTGTCAGATGCCAACTTTGAGAGGCTGATGTTCATGAAGGCAACAATCATCACCTCGAGGAGATGAAGGCGAAGGGCAAGCCATAGTAAAAGGAGTGTGTAACCTTGGTGTAACCTTAATATTTATTATTCGTTTAATAAACTGTATGTTGAATGTCATCTACTGCCTAATTTCAATTGTTCATTTATTTATTTATGTTACGTACATCTTGATCATCATCTGATCTTGGCATGCTACATCTTTTTGGAAAGCTCCTATTCAAGGCTGAAAGTTCAGCTCTCTAGGCCTGTTTTTCAGAGTCCCCCCCCCCCAAATTAAGCCAAATCTAAATTTATATATTAAAAGTTAGCGGTTAGCGGCAAATTCCGCTATATTTTTTGGTGATTTATCGGTTAAGCGTTATCGAAGCTAACTTTTCAGTTAGCTGATTAGCGGTTATCGAAGCTAACTTTTAGGTTAGCTGTGCCCACCACTGGTTGTCACTATGCGCTCTGAGAGTGATATTTGTCTTATTTGTTAATAAGAATATCCCACTTATTTGTTAATGAAATGCCATTTATTTGAGTGCTGGAGTCTAGTGCACTCATCCATGCCATCTTGCTTCTATTGCATCGGAACAAGCATGCTGCCACTGCTGCTGGCCTGCTAGCGTCCTATCTGAGACTCTGAGTGCGCTGCTGCTGCTGGGCGCTGGCCTGCTTGTTTTGAAGTGCATGGCCGGCCCCATCCTAATGGAGTGGATGCGCGCTCCTATTTTTGGCCACCGCGCTCATAAATTACGTACACACAATCATTTAGAAGGAATTTGGAATGCCACTGGTGTTTTTGTCTGACAGTTGTATGGATCCTTCATATGATGGATCTCAGCAGCTGCTGTGCTCAATTTACCACTAAATAAACAGCGCTTATCATTAAAAATTCTATACTGGTAAAACTATTCAGAATTAAAATTTGTTTTGTTTGATTGCTACAAAATAACTTTGTCAATTTTATTAGTTTGCTAGTGCTACAAATATGTGATTTTATTTTGTTATAAAAATACATCATTTCTTTTGAAGGCCAGAGACAATCTTCAAATTGTGCTGTGTCAAAGTTAGTGACAATCCAAAGTAGAGATTTGGGCAGAAGCCACTTGTGAATCACCTGTTCAAATGGCTTTTTCCTAATTTAATTATTGATAAATAAGTGAAATGCCCTATTTTCACCCGTGATTTTCAAAAGTGCGCATGAAACAATAATTTCTGCCATGATTTTAGGGAACTTATGCCTGATATTCTGTATATAGTGGCATTGACATTTGACAGTTACACTAGGTGAGAAAACAGTGATAGCCTTTTGTGCATTGGAATTTTGCCTTTTAACCAATCATATTTCTGAGCAACTGGTTACACTTTTCCACTCAGTTACAAATAGAATTCACACCCTTGCAGTCTTTTTAGAATTCACACCCCTGCCATCTCGTTAGAATTCACACCCCTGCAGTCTCATTGTAATTTTGACTTATATATTTTGGCAGAATTATTTTTCAAGCATCAATCTCCCTATTAAATTACAGTCCAAGACTAGAAAAAGTGAACTTTTTAATATGACATTGCATCTATCTGCCACCTACAAAAGTGAAAAGTTACATGTTTAGGTTGAATTATAAATTTTTCCCCTAAATGTTAAGTATACGGTGTTGCTAACTGTTCGGGCGCCAGTGTACGATGTTGCTAACTGGTCGGTAGCACCACTGTAACAGGTTGCTTTTCTATGCAACCCTTATATGAATTGTAATTAAGTATGATCTGAGGGTGGTTTGGTTGTAGCTGGATCCGAGGATATAGAGGGACAGCATAAACGATTATATAATATACTTTTAGGATTATAGTTCGGCTTACAGTTTAGGATAATCAGTTAATAAGTTGGAGCTTTAACACTGATGTCTTCAGCGTCCAGTTGAATTAGGGATAAGTCTAGAGTGTATCTTCTACTCTGACGTTAATTTAGAGTTACTGTCCTGTTTGACATGGACAGGAGCAATGGGGTATTCCGTAGCGGTCCTCGCCCAAGACTGACGTTTCCGCGTCTAGGCAGAGCTCATATAGCTACGGTAATTGACGTCACCAAGGGCGTGACTTGATAAACAGGAAAGGCTTATACAAGGAAATGCTCATGAACATATCGCATGTGAAGGATCTTATCTTTCAACAAGGAAGACATCAATCAGGAAATGATGGTATCAACATTGTCATCTTACAAAAGTGGGCAGTTTCATACAATATTGGATTGAAGATCTCAGAAATTTTAGGAAATTTTTATGCCAATAATTTGGCTGGCTATCAATAAAAACAATCTTAAAAATACATAGGTACTAAACCAGGAGATTTACACAGCTTAATAATTGTTAATTTGTAATCAAACCCAAAAAATTTTAGTTCAATTTTAAAATTAATGAACTTATAATGCTATGAGCATGCATATATTTTGGCATGGTTTGAAATTATTACCTATGCTGTGCTCTGGTACTAGTGCTTGCCAAAATTGGTCACTAAAATTAATATTGGCTCAGTTCATTTATCTATCAATTGTAGGAAAAGAGATAAGCCAAAATAAAACTAAATTGTAAGCAAATTTTTCCTATAGGTCTCTCTCTCTCTCAGTTACTTACTTTTTGTTGTACTCAATAATTTTTTTAGTAAGGATACCATTACTTGTGCAGTTAATAAGTGTTAAAATTTACCCTATAATTTATTTATGATTTCCTCAATTGCTCTGAACTCTGAAGGTAAAATAGATGATCAACTTCATTTTGATAATCTGAATCAGTTGTATAGTAATGATTATTTATTGATTAGCATCAAATAATATGAAGCTCCTTGTTATGAATTGTTTTATAAAATTTAAAAATATGTCTGTGTTGGAAATATTTTCCTTGTGATATGTTTCATTTTATTTCATGATTAATTGAATTTCAGGGCTAGAAATATTGTAAAGTATAATTTCAATGCTAACAGAACATACCTGTTGATCTATATGCTGCTGCATTGAATCTCATTTTGTAATGCTATAGATCATTTACTTGGTATATTGAAAAATCTGTAAAATAAATTAACCACAGTGCTTAATATGTCTGTGAAAGAAACATTAAAAGTATTGCTTCATCCCTATCACGGTTTCAATATATTATTTAGCTTGAGTTACATCTGTGCTAAATTGATAGAACCCCTTTGCATCCTACTGTTTCCAGAAGGGACCTCACCAAACCTCAACACAGTCAGTATGCTATGCATATTTTGCATGCATTTTATAAATTATACAATTTAATTTGATGCACCAAGTTGGTTAACTTTATTTAAGAATAATCTCCATTTTTGTTTAAGGTACCTAGTAAAGTTCTATTGGTTATGGTTCATTGGGTATATAAATTGCTTCATTTTAGTATATAAAAATGTTTCTGACTTTCATATCTTGATGTATCTTGTGCATGATGAAAAACTTTGTGCAAAAAAGCTTTTCACTAAACACAATAGATATCATGAATATATACAGTCAACTGTGACTTGATATAATTTTGAACTATCGGTATTAAACTTCTTGACATGCTAAGCAATTGAATTCAAATGAAGAATTCATCTCATGAATATTATATTTCAGTGGGAGAGTGAGGTTCTGTTCTTCTTGCTGGTGGTGGTGATGTTCAGAACTCGACGCAGTGGAGCACGAACAACCATTGCATATATCACCACAGCAACATTCTATGCTAAAGCCTGCAATCTCATCCTATGGTTCTCTGCTGATCCAGCCAAAGGAATAATTTATGTGGCCTCCCTCTTTGGTGAGAACATTTTCAGTTCCTACTTTTTTCAAATTATTTTTTGTGAAGCCCAATATGAGAACAGCTTAATATTTTTTGTGCAGCTGAGCCTATTTTAAATTCTGTTATTACCATTATTTGTACTCTGAATTTATGCTCATTTGGGTAAATTTTATTTAGCTTATGTATGTTTTTGAAATTTTCAAACACATTTAGTAAGACTACTGTTTTACTGAATTATGGCAGTTTGATTGCTACCTTACCATCCATGTTTGAGTCAAAGATAATATTCATTATTCTTCAAGGCAAAAGTGCTCTCTTCACAACTATAAGTTTGGTGGCAGTTCTAAGAGTAATTCCTATGTCTACCTAGTTGTAAATTTGTTGTTAACAGCGTACACATGAGAGTTCAGATTGTAGATACTGACCATAATTTTGCTTGCGCATTGTTTCTTTTTTCAGTGCATTTCCTGCTGGTTGGAGAGCCTGTGTACAGCGGTCCTGAAGCCATCACATACTTCCAAGGCTGTGCTGCTCTGGACGAGGCGCTGGAGAAGAGCAAGTCGGAGTCCAGCGTCTGGCTAATAGCTTTCTATGCAGCTTGGTCGCCTCCTTGTACCACTCTTGCTCCTATCTTCTCCAAGCTCTCTCTCGAGTAAGAACAATAAGTTTATTACTTGTTGAGCAGAAAGATTGGAGGTTTTATTCTTGTGCAATTTGTCAATATTATATCATATTTATTTGTTTAATTTCATGTAAAAATCTGTATGAAAATTGGCATAATCTTAAGCCCAAGGTGTTTGTTTATACTTTTTTTGCATTGAATTATGGTTTATCATCAAATATATTTTTTCTGTTGCAATTATAAAAGTTCAAACTTTGTTGTAGATATTGAATATTGTGGGTTGTACCATTCTAGCTGCCACAACTAATTACAAAACACAGCTCTTGCTGAAAATTCTGCAGATTGGTCGAGAATTCATGATCGTTTAAGCAGGGCCGTATTTCCTACAATTAAGCCACTTTTAAAACTAGTAATTGTCCAAGTGACGTGTTGGAGGAATAAGTCAACTTCAGTTACTTTCAAAGTTATTGTTTAACAATATCACATCTAGAAACAATTAGAAGCATCCCATTAATTATGACTTGATTCGTTACACCGCACAGTAAAACTAACATCAGTTCAGCCTGTTTAGGTAGTATAAGCGTCACATAAGGGGATAAATTCGTCAAATGGCTTACTAAAAAGCGTAAATACTACATTGTTGTGCAGCTACGAACTCCCAAACTTGAAGTTTGGCAAGGTGGACGTCGGGCGGTATCCCGAAGTGGCCCGCAAATACCACATCAACGACACGCCGCTGTCATTGCAGCTCCCAACCATCGCCATATACAGGGACGGAGAGCTGCTCATGCGTCGACCTACTCTTGATAGCAATAAAAAGTTCCAAAAATTCTTTTTCACAGAGGTGAGATTCTCCTAAAATGGAATTGAACATCTCTAGTGTATTAATTCTAAATTTAAGATATGTTACATTTAAGTTTTTCTGGAACTAAGCCTTGAGAGCACACAGCGAAGAAAGGTTTGAGGTTGACATTTTTACATTTTGTTACCAAAGTTCCACTTTCAGTGCAGCAAAACTTTCATTATCTATTTAATTGAGGTCTGTCTTCACAGGATAACATCCGGGCTGCCTACGATCTCAACAACGTCTATTTGGACTGCAAGAAACGATTGAAGGAAAAGAAACAATCCCGGGTGAAGACTGACTAAGCATCAATGTCACTACATTAATCACCAAGGATGCAAGCCTAAACTAATGTTTCTTATAACAAGAAACTTATTTTGTATACAAGCCGAGGAAGGTTAGTTTTTGTTTTCAGGATAAAATGACGCATTGTTTTATAGCTACAACAGAGCGCTCTTGTAAATAAATGTCCACTGACGGAGATTTTTTTTCCAGTTTCTAATTTCTATTTGAAGCTTCACTGATTGCGTTAGGAACTATGGTTATAAAAACCGCCGATACATTACCCAATGAGGGTGAGGGAGATAATTAACGTCATATATCGGTGCCTGAATTTCCTAGTGTAAAAGCTAATAGTGTCCGAGTTCAATTAAATAATTCAGTACAATCAATTGTACTCCGACTATGAAATCTACGAAAAAATTATCTTTGAACAAGAGAAATCACAAACGCTTCCGCAATGTATGAAGACGGTCATACGGCTTCTGCCTTTCACCATGCTGGTCTTTCACTATTTAGCTGAGTCGTCAAAACTGAGCGTCACCGAAGGGTTTAGGAAGAAAAACGTGGAAATGAATGCAAATTTATTTTAGCGCCGTACAAGAAGTGTCACAAGCTAACGATAGCACGATAGCCTTGGAAATCAGACCAAGTCAGACGCATTAGATAGGAAAGGAAAACAAGCTTTCTCAAATCGGATTTAAAACCTATTTTTAAAATAAATTAAGATATAAAAACTGACTAAACTAAGAGGAAGCAGGAGTGGGTGCTGCAGGTGACTAATTTCGAAGTTCCAGGGTAACCATAAAAAAGGTAACTTGATTCACAACTTAATTCATAGTTTCGACCAAAAAAGTTAGATATGGCGACAGTAGCATAAAGAAAATCTCAAACCTAACAATGCTTGTAACCCGGTACATTGTCAAATGACGATTGCATCCTTGCCTTAACTCGGCAAATGTCACGCCTCTTCATGAACAGGCACCATGCAAGAATTCACCCACCGTCAAGCGCTCCTGATGCAATGATAAATTAGTCAAGCTCTCATTCGAGGTAAAAAATAATAGCAAATAACAGGCGTGCTATTAGAACGAACGGTGAAAGTTGCAAGTAACTTACAGTGGCTGATAAAAATTCTAGTCTTTACAGGCCAAATTGCAAGAAGCTCACAATACCTAGTTACCGTATTTGTGGAGGACTTCAAGGCTCTAGAATATCAGCACCGATCCAGGATCTTCGATTTCATCCTTCATCTCCGCCATGCCGTCTCCAGGACACGAACTCTATGGCCCAGAACTTTTAGTTTCTAATTCAAAAAAGGCTCTATTTGCGTGGTGTTACGCATGGCATTTGTGTGTCAGGAAGATCAAGAGCTTAAAAGCAAGTGCCTAAGTGACCTTGATCTCATTCTAATCTAGTTTTCTTGGTTGATGGCTGCTCCTGCTGCATGCGGTCGTTCTGTGGGCCAGATTCTTCGTTGTTATTCGTGTTGGCGGAGGAAGCAGAGGGCAGTGGAGTGGACAGAGAACGCAGCAGTTTGCTCTGACTGTGTTCGCCGAAGATGCATGGCAATAAACCAACACCGTAGCCAGTGGCACGCTCACCCTGCTCAGTATTTCAAACGTATTTGCATCGAAGGAACATACACATCACACCAGTTATTCTTTGAAATGGACTCATACACAATAATTTTTACATTTTAAGCCTAGAGTATGTACAATTGCAAGCAAAAAGATTGATGAAAAGCTCACAACCTAGATCGTTAGGGGCTATGTAAAAAGTAATGAGTATGGGACGGTGAGATATCTTGCATTGTAACCGCTATTGATACAAAACAGGATGTTGGTGCAGTTCAAGTACTCTACAGTAAAGCACGCACGAGGTACACAGGAGCCGCCATGTCGATGTGCAGCCACAGCCCGGAGAAGTCGAAGCCCAGCTGAGCGGCGATGAAGAGACCAGCACATGACGACGATGCGTTGTTGCGGTCCTGAAGGCAGTAACAACACTCAATAACATTCAATTAAGAAATCCATATTAAGAAAGACAATGAATTTACATGATGCGAACAGCACAGCTGCACAACGGAGGAATTGGGGAAATTTTACTCACTGCTGCGGAATTCTTCATGTCAGCGACAACCGAAGCAAATTCTGGGAAATGGAGTTCAGGGCAGTAGGGCAGGGCGTGTGCCAGTTCTCCCGACACGCGTCCTGCTCTCACTGCGCACTGCTCCAGTTCGTCATTGTTGCTCACCACTGCGGCGTGATATTTGCCTGCCACAATACGGCTCATTACATCACTGCTCTGCAACCATCTTGTTCATACGCCCAGTTAAATAATCTCCACTATTTTCATAAGCAAGATGGTTGCAAGCTTAAGTGATAACTTGAATGGAAAACAATTAGAGTAATTAGAACAAGATGAGAGGAAATTAGAACAAGATGATAGGAAATGTTGATAAGTACCAGTGGCAGTAGCCTGGGCTCCTGTGAGCGTGGCCATGTCCAAGATGGTGTCGCACTTTAGGTCCTTATAAGCATACACAACACCGTCGCCCAGCACGAGTCTGCCCTCGGCATCAGTGTTGTTGATCTCAACGCTGCGGCCGGAGTACAGAGTGTGAATGTCGTCCGGTTTGGTCGCTTTGGGGGATACGGCGTTCTCAGCTAAGCAAAAGACAGCGTGCAGGTTCTGGTCAAAGCCTGATTTCACTGCAACGTAAAATGCGCCCAGAATGCCTGCTGCTCCTCCACAGTCACGCTTCATTCCTGGCATGGTTGTCTGTAAAACCAAGATGTCTTAAACACGTGAGCAGGGCAAAACGATCGTCTCATTTATGCAATTCCAGCACAATTTTGATAGAAGAAATAAATTTAGCACTAAATTCTTGTATGGGTGATGTTAAGCCTACAAATATTCTAAGGCATTTAGCTGGCGGAATAACAAAAATGTTTCACAGTAGCTGTCAAAGTGCATAGAGGCATAAATAATAATAGAGACACTTACAGGTGCATGGTTACTGTTAATTTGTGCGTAATGAAAAACTCGAATTTATCACTTTCATTTGAAAAAATTGGAAGATGAAGGCAACGTTGAAGTAGTCTACCACCTTAGTCTTCATGCTAAGTCCTCCGGTGTCATAGACGATGCCCTTGCCGACCCACGCGATGTTCTGTGACGCCCCGGGCGGTGTGTGCGAGAGGATCACCAGCGCAGGTGGGCACTCCGCCGCCTTGCCCACGCCCCAAAGGCCACCAAAGCCCCGCTTTTTGAGCTCTTCTCCTTGGATCACGACCGGCACGATGTTCAACTTGCTGCCGACGCTTTCTATTTCCTGCAACAAGATTAATTCTAGTGAGATGATTAATTTAGATTCTAACTACTAACTAATAAATAATACATTATTCAAGTAGGAAAACGTGATTACGAGCATATCAAACTAGCGTTAGTGTTGAGCGAAACAAATGGTAGTTGTAGTGATGAAATAAGCTGAAAAAATAGGTGAATGCAAAACGGGATTAAGGCACGGTAATTATCAGAAGACGGTGAGTTATTACTGGCGATACAAAATAAGTAATAAGTGCAACATTGCTGATACACTCCTGATGAACCTGCGTCTGGGGTTTCCATAAGTGAAATTATAAGGAAAATATATAACAGTAACAATATCTCCTGTTACAATTACATGAGAACTCTAGATTAAAGAAAGAGGCTTTTCTTGCAAACTAGGGACTTACATGTAAACCTAATTTGAAAATCTCCAAAAAATCAAATTCCGTTGAATTTTGACGTCCAATAATAAATCAAGGGAACGTCAAAATAGTAAATTACTTATTACTAAATGACAAACTTCGTTGTAGATATTGAATATTGTGGGTTGTACCATTCTAGCTGCCACAAATAATTAGCAAAACACAGCTCTTGCTGAAAATTCTGCAGATTTGTCGAGAATTCATGATCGTTTAAGCAGGGCCGTATTTCCTTGCAATTAAGGCACTTTTAATTAATTAAATTTACAACAATTTATTTAATTTAATTAATTAAATGTTCAGCTATGACCGTGTGTGGAATAAACTGAACGAATTGGAGTCTGTTTTTATATTTCTTGGAATCTACCTACTAAATGAAGTAGAGATCAGGAGCAAGAGACAACACGGAGCACAATGGAATTCCACTCACTTGGACTACTGGGTCGTTACTTCTAAAGTTACTCCCGTGAAAGTTACTTCTATGCAAGCTATAAAATATATGTACTGTTTATTATATACCTCAATGCAAGCTATATACCATCAATGCATATACCTATATACCTTCAATGCAAGCAATATATGTTGTCTATTATATACCTCAATGAAGGCGGTGGTGGTCATCTCCTGGGCGGGCGTATCCACGATGCACGCCGCCAGGCGGATGCCAAAAATCGCAGCATCCAACACCTGGGATGAGGGTTCCATTAAATTAATGCATTAATATAATTAATGAAATAATTGCAACAGTCGCTACAGCAGTAGGCACAGTATCAGCGACATGGGAAGTTATCAGAATGAAATGATAGCCTCATGAGCAAATTATACTTGGACTTTACTGAAATATATGCAGAAAATTGATAACTAATAGCGAGCCAGAAATCAAGTTAGATACAGAAAAGTGCACACCATATATTATAGGATGTTAATCGAATGAGTTATTCACTTATAGAGTCAGTAGCACACACTCTAATGATAATACCTGTTAAATATTGATTTTATTCGGAAAGATTTCTTAAAGGACTCAATTTCACAATTGCAGAAGATGCCCAGTAAAAGTCATTATGTTGCAGCAAACTCCCCACTGGGAAGTGTCTCGAAATTGAAGTGACCCAGCACTGCAACGCTCATTTCAAGCCTCGGATTTAACATGCTGAATGAGATTTGTACTTCCTTGAACGGGCTTAAGAAAGAGGACTCCTGCTCACAAATTTTGAAGCTTTTTGAATATACAGTACGGCAATATTGCTGGAGTGCAATCAAACAAGAAGCAATATTTTGGGAGTGATGCAAATTAGTCAGACATTAACATAGTACCAATTCAATGTTTATAACACTTTGGGACGTATTATAATCGCAGTGCAGTGATGACACAAGAAAGGAGCAGCTCACCACCAAGTCCTGAGCAGAGAGCTCCTCAGTGTCGCTGCCAGCCAGGATCACCTCGATGGTGATGGTCTGCTTGCGGTCGCTGTTGACGACGCTCGACTTGCGTGAGTAGAGCGAGTAGGCGCGCGCCACCGCGCACACACTTGCATACACATCGCGCCTCTCACACACCAGCTGTAAGGCAACACATCCTTTGCTGCAGCATGATATCATCAAGTCTGTACACTTCCCCCATCAAGAAAAAATTACTTTCTAGTATATAAATGACACAACCTCTCAACATCACAAGAAATAATTCTATTTCAATGAAATGTTCTAATTTCTCAATCAGCATAATGAAAAATTTTACATGATCAAATAATAGAAAGAGACAAGATGAATTGAAACGGAAGTTGTTACAAAGATACGGGAATTTTATGTCATGCAACAACTGAGTTTCATCATATGCCCAAAGAAGAGGACTGGGTTGCCTGTAAGCAAGCTTCAGTAATTGGGCTGATTTTATAGCTTCATGGTAGAGCTTCACCATGCCATGGCGTTAGCATAGCTTTTTGATAGATGAACATATGCTCACAACTATAATTATTTTTAAAATAATTTAGACGTAACAGATTAGTAACTTAGGATTGTTTCCCATTGTGATAAATTTGCACGATTATTTTCATAGCATCAACTTGAGAGCTTTACAAAAAATCTAATGAGCCTAGCAATACTGCAAGCAGTGTGGCATCAATAAAAAGGGCTGGACCGCTCGCACGGGCACCGTACAGCTAAAGTATAACTCATTCCCTACACTACAGGTGTCTTGCAAGTTGCAACAAGCTATTGGTGGAGCGGTATTCTGGCTGTGAGCCACGAACAACGGAGCAATTTAGGGAAAAGTTGAGTAATTATATTTTGATTCAAGCTAGAATAATCAGAAAATTTGCCTTCACATGATCTCTTATCCCAGAAAATTTCACTCAAATGGATTCATTATTATTAAATTAACTTGTTTTCACAAGCAAATTTAGCCTCTAATTCTTATTCCATAAGATAAATGTATTAGCATTGACCTCTTCATGAAAACACACATATATGTAAATAGGCAAAAATTAGACCTTTTCAAACATTTTTGCAGAAATATAATAGAAATCTTGTAAACAAATGTGTCTTTTGTTAAACCATATATTGTGCATGAAAAATTATGTGTTCACATTCCTACTTATTGATGATTTGGATTATTTCAAAATCAAACAATATTCATTTTAGATAACTGGCCATGTCTTTTTTAATTAACAGACAAACAATTGACAAATTCTTTTAGAAAAATGCCTATCAGAGATTCTAAAATTGAATTATTTACCAGACCAGACATTGTAAACAATTTGTTACTACCTTCAAATAGCATTCCCAGAGTTCCCTATTCTCTTTCTTCAATAGTCATTCTATGGCCTTAGTGAACATCAGAAAGAAAACTTGCAGTAGATCCTATAAGTAGAAGAATTCTAACACTGCTACCAAAAGTGGGAACAAGTTCTGCTTCAAGTTTTACTTTACCATTGGAATTTCTTCATAGGTTTGACTTAGGTATTAAGAAGAAATAGTACTAATATGTATAAATGAAACATTAGGGTCATTACTTCTGGTCATACTTTGTGCATACATTAAGAGCTGCTCAAGTTTCGAGGAAGTTCCAGTTTCAATTTTGGTCATGAATGAGCTATTCCTTATTAACAATTGTACATCAAATCCAGCAAATGTGTGGTCTTGACTTAGAAGTAAATATTAAGTAGGGGATTTTGGCCATTTGTGTTCTCATTTTTACTAGCATGAAGGAAATATGAAAGCTGAGATAATTATGTAATGAAATGAGCCATAAATTTAGTGGCACAAACAAAACTGTTCTGATACAAGATTAACAAGTAGGTCCTATTGTTAGCTACTGTAACCAACTTAGTACTTACTCCTAAAATCTGTGTTTAATTTGCAAATAGACACAACAAGTTTGACTGCTGTAAGCAAACCTACCACAATATACTCCTCATCTGCAGCAACAGTGTGTGACCGGACAATCTTTGTTATGTGATGGGCTCTGGAGTTGGTGTTGTGGCGAGTCACTCTTGTAGGCAGTGCAGCAACAGAGCACAGGTTTAAGTACAGAGACACACAGTCTGTAGGACTTGGCTGCAAGCCTTTTACACCATTAGACCAAACCTGAAAAAAGTCAATAATTAAACAATGCCGGAATTAAATGAAATAAAAGTTGAACAATTAAAGTAACTTAATTGGAATAGTAGGATTTTCATTATTAGATTGGAGGAGAGGTATAAAATATGTTGATTTTTATTGGAAGTGATAGTATTGCTAGCAATGTCAAAGAATAGAAAAATATCAATTGAAAAATTTGTTAAGGGACTTTGGTGAACAGCAAATCAGGTGAGAGAAAACCCACCTGACCATGTAGCATCACTGCACAGCAATCATTAATGTCATAAACAGATCTATTTTGACTGCTGATGTCAAATGATGTGTATGGAATTAAAATCAAATTTAAAAGTATCACTTCTACTGAAATGATAAAATGTGTGAATTAAATAAAAACAAATGCTAGAAATTGTGAAATTTTTAATTAGAGGTGCATATACTGCATAAAGAAAAAACATGCAAGTGAAAGGAAAACAAGCACCAGCTTCATTAACATGAGAGTTTCTTACAGTTTCAGTGACGCGGTTCCCCAGTTTTGCAGAAATATCAGCAAAGTTGAGCAGCTGCAGATGCTTCAGCTGACCAATAATCAACACAGGGTTTTTTTGTGGGTCACATGGGGTGAGACTTGTGCTCACCTGCACTGTTGTATCTTTGATACACATCTTTCTGGACATAAACTCACCTCAAACAGTATATATCATCTAATTTATCATATTTATGCAAGCCTTTCTGAAATAAAATTATGAAAGAAGACATAATATAACTTTATGCTGTAGATTGTTGCATTTACACTTTGATGTTAGGTTTTGTTAGCTATCTCAAAACACCTATAAATCATTTTAATTCAACATTTTAATCCAGGGAAAATGTTGAAAATATTCAAGTTTCTATTCTGGCTAAATCATGAGACTTTTTGCTTTTTTGAGATAATTAAGTTTGATTTCTACACAAATAGAAGAATTCTGTTTAAAAACTTTTCATTTGTGAGTTGAGTCTGGTGGCACTAGTTTAATTATTGCTGTATTTTTACAACACTTCTCTTTAACTTCACTTCTTGTTATTTGTCTGCCACAAATCTTATAATCAATATTTAACACATTTCTACCTCTCCATTCAATCTGAAATTTTGCATTAAAAAATTTTCCTTTTTGATATTAAAAAAAGTGAACAAAATAATTTTGTCTGCTACCGTAAAATGGGGTTACTTTAACCAGCAGGGTAACTTTGACCACTTTTCGTTTTTGTAACAAAAACCCCCAAAACTCAAAAACGATTTGATATAGAAAAATTTGGTTAATGGCCATCAAAGGCCTAATACTGAGGCTACGTAACACAATAGAAAGATTTTAAAAGTTTGCATATCTTACAGGTTAAAAAATTAATAATGTGACCCACGAATAAGAGCTATTATTTAAAGCCTGTAGGAGTACCCCCTCCAATTTTTTTATTTTTTGGTAAAATAACTCTATGTTTTGATGCATTGTAGAAGAACTCTTCTAGTTACATATGCAAAAGACAAATTTTAGGAAAGTGTCATAGTTTGCAAATGGGGGGCGCCGCTCCCCAGTGGGGGGCGCCGCTCTCCAGTGGGGGGCGCTGCTCCCTAATGGGGGAACTTTGACCACCTAATGGCAGCCGTGATGGGGTAACATTGACCAGCTTGGAAATTAAGTTAAAATTACCATAGGTACCCATATAACATATTCTGTGTTTGATACATCTATTAATGTTTTTTTTCTTTATGTTTCAGACTCTACAGAGTCTTATATATGGTAATTTTAACTTTATTTCCAAACCGGTCAATGTTACCCCATCACAGCTGCCATTAGGTGGTCACATTTTGCCCATTGGGGGGCAGCGCCCCCCATTTGCAAACTATGACACTTTCCAAAAATTTGTCTTTTGCATATGTAACTAGAAGAGTTCTACTACAATGCACCACAACCTGGAGTTATTTGGAGTTTATTTTACCAAAAAATAAAATTGATTTTAGCACCCGGTCAAAGAAACCCCAAGAGCTGGGGTAACAAAGAGCCTCACTTTTTTTGAAATTACATCAAAACTATGAGAGGCAGGAGCCAGTAATTTATGGTACCTAAGTAAAGCTAGAGTATAGACCTGCATTTTGCATGTTTCAATTTAAGTTTAACTTATCTAGTAGAAAAGTGGCATCATTTTGAAAAAAAGTGGTCAAAGTCACCCCATTTTACAGTACATATCTTATAATCAATATTTAACTTTTAACACACTTCTACCTGTTCAATTGATATGAAATTTTGCACACTTGCGCAAATTTGGAGACAATGCACGTATCAACTGACAGAATAATTTCAACAAATTCAATAGTATTTAATATTTATTTTTTAAGTTTAAAAATAAAATTTAAAATTCATTATTTTAATATATGATAATATAATTAGAAATTCATTGTACATGTGTAACATCGGAGACACTGCATTCTTTAGAAGTGTTGTCTTTAAAAAGTAATTTTTAAGTGCATATTATTAGTATTCTGATATGACTGAGAAATTGAGTTTGATAAAAAAAAACATTTGGGATGATAATGGCTTGCAGACATTCTATGGAGCCTGGAGGTTTGAGGTGGATGATGGCTTCAGACTTCATTCAGATTGTCAGTCTGTCAGACTAGGCCTACCTAAGCCTCTTGCGAATGATGGAATTCCATGAATAGGTAGAGCTTCTCAGCTTCTTATACTATCAAATATTGATACAGCTGGGTTATGAACAACAACAAGAAATAGGTCCTACCGTAGGTAGCTACCTACCAACCAAGTAATAACAAAAATTTTAATTCAAATATATTCAATTAACTAGGATAATAATGGGTATTGGATTTGGCCATTGGGTAACATGTACCAGTACGGTACCTACCTAATTAATACCAAATAATACAAAATTTGTAATTATTAGATAAAAGGTTTAGACAAAATTATAATATATAGCCTACCTAGCAGTCTAGCAGATTGAACAGAGGCAAATAACCGCAAATTCAATGCTGATACATAACAGATTAAAACAACACTAACGGTACGTCGGTACCTAGCTACTTGAATGATTGAATCTAATTTCTAAATCATTAAATGACAGTTGACAACTTGACAGGTGGCCCAAAGTGACCTCAAACTCAAAGGCCTCCTCACTTATCAGTTCTATTTAATAATAATAGTTGTAATAATTTTAGTAGCTCTGCCTAGGCAGCTGAAGGCTACGTAAAGAAGATGTGAAAAAGCCAGTTGGGTTTTTGTTTTTATAGCTCCACACTTACGGAGTTACGGTCAGGTTAAAGGTCTAGTAGACACTTCACTCCGCCTCACACTTGGAGAGTTAGGTAGGTACTATTAGTGATCAGATTTCAGACCCTTAGTTTATGTTCAAAATATTGTAGTTGTATGGCAATGGTCTACACTCTACAGAAAAGTTCAATCCAAATTCAAGTAAAGCGATACTTAGAACTACGTTGATTTGGTGTTTTAAAATGGGTTAAGCTAGGAATTTTAACTCTACTATGTAGGCCAGACTCTCTTGGCAGTCGAAGAAAGTTTGTGACTTGTGCCGTATGCGGCGGTATGCGTCGTTTACGGTAACAGAAAGTGTCAGCAACTTGAACCGAATACACATTTCGAACCAACAAGAAATTTTTGTATATTTCTAGCCTCGTGAATATTAGTCATGTAAATTTACAACAGAAAACTACAATCTATTGTATGAATGTCAGAGACTAACCCAGAATTTGGCATTAATATTTTCTTCCTAAATTTTGGACCGAAAAAGTGTTCCTGCCGAACGCTTCAAAGAACCGCTCGACACTTTGGCACCGGCACGTCGTGGCCAACTGAAATCATTCTCGATCTCAACGTCTCAAACATCCATTAGGCCTAGCCTAGCAACAGTTGAGCTAACTTAGGAACAAGCCAACAGCCTCGGCCTTTACTTTTAGGCTTCATGATAAATTATTTTTTTCTCACGTTCTCGTTATAAAAGTCTGCTCACCTATTTTTTCCTGCAGTTTAAAATTTATCTTACCAAAATCATTAATGACTTCATACACGTAGATGAAACATAACTTGAAAATAAGCTAACGCAGATAAGATACATTTTTTCCGGGATCTTCATCATATTTCATATCCGACATGATGCTAATGACTTGTTCGTTCATGGTGTCGGAAAGATTATCAAAAATATCTTACGCTATAAATTCCAATATCCTCACTAATATAATACCTTCAACTACTCCCGAACAAAAAATTGAAATTTCATTCCTTTTTTGATTGAAATATATCACGCTTGTTTTACTCATAGGTAGGATAAATTTATTAGCGTCAGACAGAAAATGAATAACATAATCAATTTTCAAAGTTACGTCTATAACAAGCCTTTATTCAGTTTCATTTGAGCTTTCGTCTGACAAGTCAAGTCAAGTGATGCTTCCAAACATACCTAAGGTTCCAAATGGTCATAGTATAGTAGTATAGTATCTTCGGCATTGATGCATAGGCCTGTCATGTGTCGGAGATTCCCGCTGATCTTCGTCTCTTTATACCTATCTTAGAATGAAATCTAGTATAGCTATGATTAAATCATCGTAAATACTGGGAAATTAATAACGTTTGTCAATGCCTTTATAAATTTATTGATACTGACACATTATGATGTACTCAACAATTTTTCTCTATAAATAACAATTTGGGAAAAAATCTATAACAATAATATTATGCATGGTCATCAGCGTGGCGACCGAGCACGATCCAGCACGCAAGAGTTCGTCCATCATTTAACCTCTATTCAATGCCGCCTACTCCTTGAATTGACAACTTTTGTAACTGTGAAGTTTTTTTTCAAATTAGGCTCGCTTTTGACCCCCAGACCTACAATTACCTCCATAAATGCAGCCATTGAACCGTCACGCACATGATGCTTAGTGTTTCGGGCATATTATGTTCAAGCGAATTTTCAACTGGGAATTCTAATTGGTTCATTGATCTAGCGATTACATAATGAATAACAGATTACAATAAATTCCCAGCCGGAAGACTTCTCAGGAGCTTGAAAAAGAGCCTCAGAATATGTGTTTTTGGCTCAGAGATAAAGAGAATGCGATTAAAGTTGAAGACATCGGAGAGAAACGTTAAAACAAAGAAGTGAATCAATAGGAAGAATTGGCAAAACACATTTCTTTATAGGGCAACAGGTAAGAAGACCCATGTTTCACATATAAAATGAGAATTTGATATATATTTCAGTTTACCGTAAAATTGAGACCGGTATGTACAAATATGAGCATTAATGCATTTTATAACAGTATGGATTACATGTAAACACGACGCCTCACCGTCGACTCAAGATTCAATATGTGATAGGCAATTTATTGTTCCAGACCAACAATGACAGAGCATAAGCAAGCCTCAGATATCCAACGGAGTTGGAACAATGAGGATACGAACAATCACGATGCAAATATTGTACGAGTAGTTTAAAAAATCTGGCTTAGCAAACTCCCAAAACCTATCATAAAAGAGTTCTCAAAAAACCCTAAAGAAATGATAGAAGGGTACTTATAGTTCCCTAGACCAACGATAGAAGGGTTCTCAAATATCCCTAAATCAATCATAGAAGAGTTCTCAAAAAATACCTAAAAACAATGATAAAAGTGTTCTCAAAAATCCCTAAACCAATAACGATGGGTTCTCAGAAAATTTCTAAAAATCATAGAAAGGTTCTCAATAAGTGCAGACATTTCAGATACCGTAGGTCGAAACAAATGATACGAAGAGTGGAAGTATTTTCATTCGAGTATCTAGTCTAAGAAATATGTTCCTACGAGTACAAGATTTGTATATAAGATAGCAAAGTACAAGTTACATTTGATGCTGGTGGGAAAACATTATTCTACCATAGAAACTATCAACAAATATACAACGCGTAATATTCCAGCTGCTGAACGCTGCATAAATATAGGTTTCTATATAAAACACCAGCAGTAAAAATACAACAATCAGAACACTTACTTTGCCAACTTTTCAATTGTTACTAATAACTTTTCATCGTTTCAATTCACGAAATTGAAACTGCACAATAAGATAGACAAGATCACAATCGTGATGTTAAGACGTGGCGGTAGACTCAATGTTTTGCACATCAATCACGTGATCCTGTACAATACAATGTACATCTGCGGTTAGAAGATGGCATGGAGACACAGAAGAAGAAATCTTGTCTACTCCGTGAAATGGCTTCTACAGATAAACATTGCGTAAGATTTGGCGTCGTAGGAGTAGCAGCTGTAAAATGATATGTGATGCACTACAGCGTGATGATTCCACAACATAGTTTAACTCCGTCCAACACAAATCACAGCACGGTTAATTAATAAAAAAGTTCTCCATAAAATTCAAATTGTAAGCAGTTCTACATGATAAGAACAACTGGCTCGAAGCTTCTCAGCCTCAACTACGGTGCATCAGGCTCCTGAATATGAGGAACAACCACTAGTTTCACTTAAAAATCTTGGTCTTGGAGCAATTACTTTACAATCTTACTTGCGAAATGACGCTGGCTTAAAATACAGCATTGAAACTTCGTGTGTTATTTCCGTGACAACGGGCATTATTACATCTCACACGCTGATTAAACTTTTGTCTCAAGCTAACTTCCACATGACGCGTTGAATTGCACTTATTTTATTTCATGTACAGAATAATATAATAATAGCAGGATCAGCATTGAAGATTAGGCGTTTTAGGACTGTTGCTGCTTCAGAGCATTGCTGAATTTTCACAGCTTGTTGCGGGTCTCGAACACACAACTCACTGCTCCATTATCTTCTGTGCCCGCCCGGCTATCTCGGCGATTTTGACTAGAACATTTCAAGGTTGGCTGCTGTTATCAAACCCACAACTCACTGCTCCAATTTTGGTGCTTCGAACTTAAATAACGAAGTAACTCGATCTGCCGAGTATGGCACAAAATCTATTGAGTGACCAATATTTTAGGACAACGTGGACTCCACTCTTCTTTCATTTCGAATCCACTTGTCCCTCGTGACATGGATGAGATTAGAGCGTGATATGCAAGAATTTTTCAGTCTTTTTCCATAATCAAAATAATACCCACGACCAAATATAATGATGACTCAGAACGCATAGAATAAACAACGTGGTTTGGCAACAAAGTTGCCGGGTCCGTATACGGTCACTCTTTGGGACAAGCTCGGCAGCTGTTGTCGTGCGCTGCTTCTTGTTGGTTGAAGCATCTGCCAGACGCGCGAGATCGTGTCCGATCGCTGAATGGTCTCGACTAATTAAGGCCCGTATACACTAGGGGCAGCGACATGACATGGGCGGTGAGGCGCTTGCTGCAGCGCCTCTCCCGCCCACAGCCGTTCACACTTATTTTTGTACGTGGAAGCTCGAGACCACGTGCTTTGAAAATTAGTTGCCAGTTAGACGTCAGTGAGGATGGATGTATCCGAATTTAAGCTCTGGGCCATTGTTCTCGGGTATGATGCTTTTAAGAAAAGATGTAGGCATCGCCGTATTTGGGTGAAAAAATTGTTGCAAAGAGAGGGGGCTCACACAAGTACATTTTCAAAGAGTTATCAGTTACGAATGCATCAGACTTTCAAAATTATACTACACTGCCAGTGGACTTGTTTAGCAGTCTGCTGAAGACTCTAATGTCACTCTCATCCAGAAGCAAGATGGTGGAATTGAGATGGAATTCATTTGCCATGAAATTCATTTCACGATGGAATTGCGAACCCAACGTATGAATTTTCTTGCGAACCTCGTCAATGGTGACTTGTACACACAAGTTTTTTAAATCTTCAACTATTTTCACCAGAGCTTGTTCTTTTGTGTTTCGACCTTTATACGCCTTTGACTGAACGCTCTACAGGCATTCTTGGTCTCTACAAAGATCAATTAGCCTCTCTACTGGAGAGTGAGTCCAAACAAGAGTGGCGTCAATTGCAATAGTAAAGGACCAGCGTACACAGACAACCTCGCTAGACCACAGACAGCCGTCTACTGAGTGCAGTGCTGAGTAGTAGTATAGTATAGTATCTTCGGCATTGAAGAATAGGCCTGGATAGGCCTGTCGCAGATTCTGAACGCTTTTGTTGCATGAGGCAGAGCGCCTGTGAATCGCTAGTTGGTCAATAGCTTCGTTGCCCACAAGAAGCGCACGTAGGCGCTGCACAGAGGGGCGGTGAGGCGCTTGGCGCCCGTGTGTTGCCCCTAGTGTGAACGGACCTTTAGAGGTTTACGGCGGTAGCTGCCAGACGCGCGTGATTGTGAGTGGTCACTCATTGGTCCTGACTATACGAGATTGGCGGCGGCAGGAGCCAGGCGTACGCGATTGTGTGCGGTCACTCGTTGGTCCTGGCTACGAGATTGGCAGCGGCGGCTGCCAGACGCGCGTGTTCCTGGGCCACGTCAAGTTTATTTGATTCGCTCCCAGCAGCGACGTATGAAAAAACGCACAGCACAGCATAGCAGATCTGGTCAGCCTGGTGGTAATAGAAATAATCAGCATCGATGTCAAATATCAATGGAAAAGTCTAAGATAAAGAAACCTGTATATCCTTGTTCTTCAACAATCACGGACAGTGTTTTCTTCATGTTATGAGTAATTAAAACATAAATTACCATCAAAATATTTGCATTAACGATATTAGGGCTTGGTAGAACCCAATTTTCGCACACTTCACTACAATGGGCTTATTAAAAGTATTTATTCAATGGTAGCAATATGTCATTAAACTAAGATCGTTGTATTAGGACAATTGTCTTGATGGGGGTTAAATTTTTTAGGTAGACATCAATAAGAGGAGAGGAAATTTTGCTTGTTTTTACCATAGCAGACTTGTATTTTCGCTGAATGACGTATCTCGTCTTGGGATCTGAGAAAATGGAAACATTTCATCAAATTCTATTCAATTAAAATGAACATTTTCAACATTGATATATTTTTCAAGTTTGAATTCATCCTTCGAAAGAACCATAATTTTAAAAATGCTTTCTATAGGTTAAAGATGACACTAAAATTCAAGTTGGAAGCTTTACTAAAATTATAATAAATGATAATTCAATAATTATTGAAGCTTTGCTAAAAGTTATGACAGTTATATTGAAATATTATTGTAGATACTCCAATGAGAGATGCTAACTAGAGTGGAGATTTTCGTAAATGCGTAACAACGTGATTCTTACAAGCTCGGTAAGAGAGCTTGATGTCTAGAGAAACTTTATATTTTGATGTTGCATAGCAAAAAGTATCCACAAACAAGATACTATTAGGATATATATAAGCAATATTCGGACTTTCAACGCACTATACTCCTCCAAGATGAAAACTCCGCCCCTCTGCGTGAAGCACTTGCGGATGTGGTCGAGTCGCACGAAGAACTGAAGAGACGGTTGCGTTAGGCAAGAGTGACATGGTGTACGCACGATAACAATAATACTAGCATACAGACGTACGATAACCCAGCTATTTTTTTTCTTACGTCAATGGTCATTCAACTTTCGATAACCCTAATATATTGGATTTTTTCAGACTTAATTATAGTCAAACGTGCAATAACACACCCAGCAACCAGACGTATGACTTCCCATGATTTTTGTAATTACTATAGCATCAGTAGTAATCTTTGGTAAATAAATACATCTAGTAGGATATTTAATTTACTTAACTAGTCCTAAATTTTCGCGTGCTTCGAAATTCACTGGTAGTTGTGTGTACAAAAGCATCATAAATATTTTGTGGGTATCATTAAGTTGATTTTAAGAAACACCTGACACAGATGTATACTATATAGACTCGTGATAACAAGTAATTTTGACTTCTGTGAAGTATGTCAGATATAATTTCAGACATGTGAAGTAGTTCAGACCATCGCATTGGTATTCAACATTGGAGAATGGGTAAGGCATGTCTAGTTTTTTTGCGTATTATATGGATTTTAGTGTAAGCTCTGAAATTACTCTTAATGTTCAAAAAGGTAAATAAAAACTGCAGTCAATTATTTATCTGGCAATGGGCAACATATTTGTGAGATAAAGGAACATTTCGGGAGTGAAATTCATGCCCTAGGCTAATGAGGCAGACGTAAGAACTCATAGCCCATGGAGTTCACAGCAATCGGACACAAGTCAAGACCTGCTATAAGAGTTAGGGGCAACCATCAACTGTGGAGCTAACAATTGCAGTAAAATAATTCATCCTCTCACTACATCTAACACAGAAAGAAAACTTGAGTGACATACGCAAGGAAACATCATTAATACTCACGTAATATAACAATCATGAGCAAGCGCACAGTTCTACACCAAACAACAGAGGCATGCGTGTGCTACGGTTGACTTCTGCAGCATGCAGAGCACGACAATGTCGTTGACTAATTGGAGCTATTAGGGGTAGGCAGTTATTTGGCAATTATAATACTTTTTCACAAGCGTTTATCCGATCTTATCAAAGTTTGTGATACTTTATCAGTTCGTTCGAGTTTATTTCCATCTATGAAAGGAAACCCAACTGCTTCTTCAGGGCACACAGGTTAAATAACCTGAGTTAAAAGTAGAATTTTCTGAAACTACCATGAAACTGAAATTATAGAAACAGGCATTGAGCGCGGTGATGTAACATCTGGTATATTCTAAAGCCATGCGTTAAGTGCCATCAGGATGAACAGTGCAGGAGCAAAACCATTTCAAACTGAGCTCGTAACATAAATACAAGTTGAACAACTGGCCTGTCGACACAGTTACCAAGCGGTGACAAAGCTACCAATCATTTCACCAGTTGAAAAATCCACATCACTACCGCTCAACCAATCCACAATGTCGCCCCTAATCCTATCCACCAGCAATATCGCTCAACGGTCCAGACGGCCACAGCACTACAACTATTCCACACTCCACATGTCACCGCTCTACCCAATATGAAGACCCCTACCAGGGAAACACGTACGCATAGTTCGTTTTGGCGCACATAACCATGCACTGACCGTGCTGGAAACACAACCTCGATGGCGACCAAGCGCTGCCCTCCAGCGACACGGAAAAATAAATCGATCTTCCCAAAACTTGAACCCACGGCTATAGCTACTCTTATCTCGTTGACGCTACCGCGGCGCTACAGACTTAAAGTGAATCTACAGTTACTACCAAAACGTATCACATTTTGTTGAAAACACAGCACACATGAGTTAAATTCCGATTATAGCGCAGGGGCTATAGTTTGAAAAAATGTAACGATGTTCACGAAGGTCTTATACGTGACGACATTTCTGATTGACATATTTAGAAAGAGGAATAGTGAGGTGTCATACTCACGAGGTGGTCGTCCTTTTCATAGGTTGTAGTTGGAGAGGGAAATTATGAATAGAATCACAGGAAACTATGACTAGATACCACAGGAAATTATGACTAGATACCACAGCTCGGACCACTCATATTATCCGCCTCGTGCGGTGTTCCAACACGTAACCAAAATCATCTGCTACTACAACGTATTCCCAATACGTTGTAGTAGCACCTCGATCGTGTGCTACTACAAAATCTGAACAGCCTCGTATTCTACTTGAATATATGACCTGGGGTTCTCCTCCAAGATGGCAACTACTAGCGTTACCTAAAATTACTAATACTGCTTGTAAGAAACTAGCACATTCGATTACCTACCATATCTAAAGAATTTTACGAGCGTTGCAAACCTACACTTCATTTGAACATAAACCAGCCGTACCGAATCTAACCTAATCGAACCAAAACCCAGTCGATGGTATTCATTAAATAGAATAGGCATCGATGTTATATCCAGCTTATTGTTTAGGTATCACTAATATCATGAATATCGGGTTTTCAATTCGAAATTTTACAAAATATTTGTAATGAGACTAGAACTCATTTGGTTCTACGAAAAAAATCCCTTTTGGACGAGGGTTAAGATCGAAACTTTTGTGTTTTTTTTTTCAGTTACCTAGCATTGCAATTTTGTCACGAAAAACAGGCGAACCGTCTAAAAAATCCATCGTCAAACTACATCCTAATCTTTTGAACCACGGAACTCATGTTTCAAAGAATTCATCCCGTCGTCCAATTAACATCGAGGAAACCAAACTCAATCTCTTTTCAGACATTTCGACCAAAGTTAACGATCCAACGCCCTCCAAGCTAACCCAACATTCATCTGAAACTTCCTATGCATAAAGGAAGCCATATCAATTACTCGAAGCAGAGAGATAAGTAGCTGGAACTTTTTTGACGCAGACGATAACAGATGGGCCGTCACAATTCGTTCTCAATTAATTTCATGGTACTTGAGGATACGAAAAATTTAGCAGATGCTCTGAAAACCACTGATGGATGCTCATATGCAATACTCATGATCTTCATGTGGGTTCCAACGAATATTGGCAATCGAAGCAAATGGACCATCACAATATAAATGCCAGAAAATAATGCGAGGAGCAGGTAGTTTCTTACTATCTAATCATTACTAAACGAGCATGAAGAGAAAACTCTTAAGCGGCCACATTTTATGCTTGATTGTTGAATCCTCTGTCGAAGACGTATAATCGTGTAACTAATACATAATAAATTATTGATTGCACAAGAAATAATAGACACTGTATTATGCAAGTAGATCATTAGGTCATGAGAAAACGATGCATCCTGCCAACAGTAAGTGTCACACCAACATCTAGGACTAACATCTATACTGAGAAGACAAGCGTACGGAGGTAGGGCTCCAGCAAAAGTGCTGACAAGGTGGTGCATGTCAGGCAAACAAGGAGCTATCAAGTGCACTATCAAAGCAGTTCATACGGTGTGTATATAGGAAAACCATCACCAAACACGATACAATGCCTCATTTATAAATAATCATAAGAAAATAAAGAGTGGAGAGAAGCTTCCAGGCACTATAGATACAAGGAATATTTTAGAGATGGCCAACTAAAAACCGTGCGTTTCTATCAAGAACCCATTCAGTAAAACGTTGCAATGTACTTGGACCCAGATCCTCAACAATATTGAGATTTTGTACATTTTACGGCTAATTTCCTTTCATTTTTGCACAGAACTAGTCGAAAAATTAGCACCGATGCTGCGTCGAAACGGAATTTACATAATTGCTCAATTTTTGAGAATCTGGTTCCCTGTCGGTCCGTCCGTAGTGGTCATGGCCTGCAGCAAGGGCAGCCAGGTCTGGTGTGAAGCAGGTGTTGCATGAAGAAATGAACACATCAATGTAAGCTTCAGCATGAGTTTTGAAGCGTCAAGTCTTCCAACTGACCGGCACGTGGATGCATTGTACTCTCATGGGAAAGATATTTCGCTACATTGCAGTTTTCCAGCAGAAATCTGGATTATTGCTGTTTGATTGCGCCGAACTAGACTGCATGTGGTGAGCTAGAAAGGGAGCGGAGTTTCCTGATTTCAAATATCTATGTGATAGCCTATGAGCCGCACGAGCTAGGGAAGGACTAGAGAATAGTGATTGGTTGCGCCACCTAAGTGAGTAGTAGCCAAGTTTCGTATTACATCAAAGGTGACTAATTGCGACATTCAAGTAGAGAGAAGTGCCAACTCGTACGTTAGGCGAATAGTGATCTGTGGCGCCAGCCAAGTGATAAAAAAAGGTGCCAACACTTGTGTTCTACAATAGTGGTTAGTTGGATTACCCAACAACTCATAAGAGGGTTGAAAACTCTCGTGTACGGAAAATAATGGCTGGTTGAGCTATTCCATTAACTCGGCAGGTTAGTGCATTAAAACGGAAAAGCACTGCCGTGAGGCTGCACTGATGCTCTCCGATGCTTTAGTGATACGTTTGAAAAGAAGAACGGAAGAGAAGATAACTAAAGTGAGTAACATACATGTCTTTACAAGAAGATTTAGGACGTCAAAGAATGAGAAGTGCAGAAGCGACAGTCGCAATCACGGTTAATCTTGTGGTCATTGATCTTGCATGGTTAATCTTGTGGTCATTGATCTTGGTTAATGTTATAGTCATTGCTAGCGGTGATTGCTTAGGCTAAAATCACCGATATTCTGTTAAAGTTAATCGATAGCTTTTTTGCGCACCTAAGGCAAAACGTATTAAATTAATATCAGGTGACGCCTCTCGCCTTATCGCTATTATCATCAGTAAATTAACAACTCTCTAGAGTTTCTTCAAAACGTTAATGATGAAACTTTTTGAGCAAGTTACAGAAAACAAGGTCGAATACAATCAAAAACACTTGGATACAGTTCGTTAAGTTTCAATAATAAGAATTAGAATCTTCGTCTGCTTCAGGTCACCTGTGCCGTGATATTTTCTACTCTGATAACATGAGTAACAATTTGTAAGTCTTCTTAGTTAGACTTGACGTAATGTTATCTGTGATACGGTGAGGTGGTAGCAACGATGATTGGGCAGTCAGGAAAGACGGCGAATAGACACACACGCACACACACAAAACAGGACCGACAGAACGGGAAGGAATAAAAGGGGTGAACAAACAGCAACCAAATGCAAACAAAACAAAAGTAAGAAGAGGTCACCAAACTAAAAAAGGCTCAATCAAAATGAATGTTTGGACGGACAATGTGATATGAAAGAAGTGTCTGAGAGGCATAGCTAAAAGAAAGGGTAGAGGACTAAAGAGCTACAGCGATGGCCCGCACTACACAGTACAGAAGCTCGTATTAGACTGAGTATACAAGGGCAGTGGTGGTGGCGTGGACTCGAACAACTGTATATAGTCACCTCAAAGTCCTTTAATGGTGAAGAAGCGCCATTGGGAGACACAAAGGAAAAAGAAAAGTAACGAAAGTGTTGGACATGGTACAATATATGTTGAGCTTTTCCAACACCACAAGTAAAATCCTGATCATGGCGTAATAGATTTCAATGCTAAGCTCTATTCTACATTAAATATCGTATCAAGGAAACTAGGAACAGTAAAAGCTCTAATCTAAATTAATTAATTATTCGTCTTGACAGATACATGAGTCAAGCTGAAGATATTTTTACAAAGCGCTTTCGAACAGAATGCTAAGATGCTCTTGTACGCTTATTTGTAACGCGGAGACACCATCATATACGTCCGAGCTAAAAAAGCCAGTAACAAAAAGTTTCCTTCGGCAAAATCACAACAAAAAAATAGCATGACTGAAAAACTGCACTTCATGATTGTCAGCGGCCCAGAGCGGGAAAATTTGTAGGTAAAAGTGACCATCTCCAAATATTCCTTGATTCACCAAGCCCTGAACAACACAACATCTCATCGACGTGCCAAATGGAGCCAGCATGAGTCGCTTTCGTGTTGGTATTCCACTAATTTTAGGATGATTAATATTCCGTATATTAGACGTGAATATTGACATCTGAGAAAAATGTAATGGTTAAAAAAATTATAGGAGACGTTCTTAAGGTAACAGAGATTCTGTAAACAGTCTAGCTTGCCACCATGTGCACAGCCACCGCACCCATAACTTTCAACTTTTAGAAGTCTATAAATTCTATAAATTGTTGATGGAAGAGGTTGGTCAAAAACTCTTATGACGAGACTGTCACTGCAAGAAACGTGTTGCCAGCGACATCCCTGCCAGCTGCCACGAGATTACCAGCAGTGTCAGAGGAGTTACAAGGATACTACAAGTGGATAAGTTTTTGAAAGGAACACGGTTCTCGGGAGGAGAAACGCTTGCTTTTCACAGGTTAGACGTAACAATGAAATTGTATTGATGTATAAAGCCATAACACTTCAAGAAAGTAACTATTTTAGCAGATCAATCGCTTAATATAATCTCATATACTATATTAAAGTCATGTTTATCTGAATGCACCTATACGAGCTTTTTAGCTAGAGACTGCCCGAAGTGAACGTGTATCTCATAATTGAAACATTTCATATTACTGTATATTAAATTTCCAAACAAATCGACTCAAAAAGCACAAATAAGCCTCTAAAACAGTGATAAACAAGTTTGGTAGCCAGTTATACGAGATATCGGCTGAACGATAGTAATCTGTACTTCCGCTCTTAATATGGTCTACCAGGCAAGTTGTAACAACTCTCGCAATAATGAATGTGTTATTTTCATAAGCGATCGTATATAAGATAGGCGTCATAGGCCCACAGCTATACGAGTTTAGTAACAGTTTCAAGGCAAAAATTATTTACTTTCAACTTCAAATTAAGTGTAAGTTCGCTACCAAGTCATAGGTGCTCATAAACGGGGCTAGTATTAGCTGCGAGTACTTGCACTCCAAATATTGTGATATGTTACATGGTGGCCAACTATGTAAGGTGCTTATACACGGGACGACTAGTCGCGTCGATTAGTTGAGTCGACTACAGTTTTGCCGGCTGCGAGCCTATGCACGAGGAGTGTTTTCGGTACAGTTCCGCACTCCCGCCAGCGCCAGTGCGACGAGACATTTATATTTTATGCCCACTACGAAGGCCGAGGCGGAACTAGGCACACTAGACTGGCTTGAAAGCTGCTTTGCCTGCAATGCAACAGCTAGTTGCATCTGGACACGTTAATCATCACAAATATTAGTGGAGCCTACGCAACTAGTCGCATCGTGTATAAGCACCTATATATGCTACCAACTGCTTTATCAAACGCCTCCTCAAACTCGTAATTACCGTTACGTTCAATATTACACCATGCACGAACCTCACTCGACGACTTCCAACGACGCACTGGCAGTCTGGCACCTGCGGACTGTTTAACCAATACTCTTCGCGTGTATAGGATCTCAGACGGCAAAACTGGGAGTATGAAAACTCGCAGCGAATATTATCCCCGAGTATAAGCACCCTAAGGCAAACGTATGCAAGTGCAAGGACTACATTGTGTTTGTGTCTGTGTCGCAGACTAGTTACTTTCTAGACGCGCTATGACAATATTCTGCGACGCTGCTGTTGTGCTAGCATCTCTTTCGCACAAGACTAGTTCATACGAACTTTATCCACTCGGGTTCTTTTATTTTGTCCTTCCAATGAAATCGGAATGTCCCCGAAAGCAGAACTCCGCGCGAACATAACTCTAAAGCATACTTAATTCCTGTTGAATGAAGCAAGTTGAATGGAAAGAGTTACAACTAGTAACTCTTACTTACAGACTACATACCTCATCAAACATGGTAAGGGAAATTTGAAAGAGTTATTAGGAGAATTGTTTTCCAAGCGTATTTGGAGATGACAGAATAGTTGGAAGAAGGAGAGTCTAAGTATACGTTGCCTATAATCGGCCAACTCTGAAGACTAAAGCGGTAAAAAGTACCCTGCGAGCAGGTAATTCTTGTAAATTAATCAGCTATTAGTTTATTGAAAAAACAGATAACTTGAGAGCTGCATATAGAGGGTGGGCCAAAATAACAGATTTTTCTGAATGATATCGGGTCCACACAGTGACACCGAATTACCTAGTTTAGGACAGATAAAAATTTTATATGCCTCCACTTCACTTCATGTCTGAGTCATGTCATATCAAGAAGTAGCTATAGATTTTTATTACAAATGTGAATGGACGAAATGATATTATTAAAGTATATATATGACAGAGGCATCGTTTGATTTAACTCAAAGAAAGTGAATGTAATCTTGCTCTAAAAATAACGCGGATAAATAATAATCATTATAATACGGTGTGTATGTGCACCAAGCCGTTGACATGGATTGTAATAAGGAGGAAGTGGCCCAAACTGGTCATAGAGAGAAAGAGAAGTATGGAAGGATAATAGTAGATGAAGGGCACTGTATATACAGGCGCAGGGTTTGCTATTGACTGCCTGGGTGTTGGACAGCTGATAGCGTTCAAGTTGAGTAGCGTAGAGGTAAGGTTGCTTCAGGACTCACAAGTTTAGACAGGAGATTAGGAGAAGTAAGGAGCTTGAGCTAGTGGTCGACTGAATTACGTACAATGATTACGTACATTAGGTATGAACGGTATAGTTGACTGAATTACGTACAATAATTGCATATATACAGTACTCTCAAGTGTTATGTGAAGTTTTTGTATTTACATGTTGTTTGCTTCTTTTTGCTCATTTTGATGTCGATTATCATATTGATGTCACTCTAAACTTGGGAGTAGTTGTAATTCTAATTGTTATGCTAATTACATTTTTTGGCATATCGTCTCGTCTGTACCTTAATTACAGAGCGTTTCGTTGGTGAGAAGTTTTTGTTTCGGACCATGTGACGTGTGCTGAGTGATAAAGGCATGCTGTGTTGACGACGGGAATTTCGTCTCGTTAGAATAATATTTTTGAAGAGATGAAATCATCATTATGAAGATATTAACTCAGACCCCAAGGTATTTATAACGATACGTGGAGCTACATTTTTAATGTATCATTTTATTATTTCTGTATATTAGACAAGCTTGTATTTTTGGCATAGGTGTTGTTGTTAATGATGTTCCTCGAGTCCTGGTCACACCTGAAAACCCGCGCTACACAGAAAAGCCGCCATTCGAGTCGGCTCGGACCAAAGCTGGGCGACGGATGTTGTGCTGGTTAGGTGTGTGTGTGTAAGTGTTTAATGAAGTTGGCTGGGTCTGTGGGCGGAGGTATGGAATTAATTATTGTGAGATAATGGTTGTATGGAGTGTTGGCAATTTGTCTGGATGTAGGGGTTAGGTTCTGAAAGTGATATCAGGGACTGAGTGAGGGGGTTGTGGTGCTGATGCAAGGAATTGGGCGCCTCTCATGTCTAGGTGTTCTTTCAGAGAGAGGACTTAGGTTTCTGCATGGACGTGACTGGATGGTGTGTTTTGGGTGCTGCCAAGTGCGATTCTGAGTGCTGTGATTTGTATGGTTTGTAGGTGTCTGTTAAGTGTGGGTGTATTGACGTAGGTGTAATAATGTAGTGATATACGGTATTGGGATTTTGAAGAGAGAGTAATTCTACATTAGTGGAGGTATGGAGGCGGTGGATATGTAATGTACACGATCGAAAATAGACAGAAGGGCAAATAAATGAAGCCACTAGATTTTAGAGTCTCGTACTCACGGTTGTAAACTGCCAATCCATTTGAGAGGAAGCAGCTCTCGATACTATTGGACCTTCCTCGTCATTGGCTACGAGAGCCAATCATGGTACCAAGTTGATGCAAGTGTATTCTAAGCATTGCTGAGATAATTAAATTCTGATAAATTCAAGGGTTTGGGTGCGCAGTGGCCGTGCGCACTAGGCTGTTCGCGTATACCGTATACGCGAGTCACGCATAGGCCTTGAGCGCGGTCCATGCGCAGTAAGCGCACGCGAGATGCTGTGTTGCGCAGTTCATTACGCAAGGTGAGGCAAGAGAGTAAACCATGCAGATGTCAGTAAAACGTTCATTATAAAGGCGACTGCCTCGTAGAGAATTCCATCGTATCAAAAATCACAGGTAGGAATATATATCAAAATCATAACTGCATGACAATTAACCACTTTCAAAAATGTGGATAGTAAAGAAAGACAAACACACTAAAACAACGCCCTTCAAAACTATCGAAAATAAAACGAATAAAGCAAAAGCGGCAATGTATTAAAAATAGACAGTTGAATATCTCAACGGAAGAGATAGGACAGGCGCTCAACAATGCTCGAGTGACCGTACGTTCTTCATCAGGATTCATCATACAAGTTTAAAGCTGCTAATCACAGACGTTAAACCTGATCATGATCGTCGTAGAACTCACGATTACCGTTCACATTATTGAGAATGCAGCCCCCAAGACTACAGAAAATGATGATAAGGATAAGAGCGTAGAAAAAGTTCGATTGCAAAACAACGACGTACGAACAGACGCAGACAACTCGGCAGCACCGCTACAATCCTACACGGCCTTACCCCAGACGACAGGATGGCATCTTGATTATATTGATCCGACTAGCCACAGGCACTTCAATTGGCCACACGCTGCTATTGCTATTCTTCAAAACATTTATTTGATTATGAAAACGTATGAAGAATTTCTATTCAGGGACGTGCCGAACATGAAGTGTGTTGGAGCTCAATACTCGAAGTGTCTGCCGCTAACGGAGATGTCTAACGCTAAGAGAGAGCCAAGAGTTGAGTCTCAAATGCTCTAATTGAGTTGCACTTCGGCTTTCTACGACAAAAATATGCTAAAATCATGATAATCTACAGCTAAAAATGCGTCAAAAAAAGTAAAAAGACGGCATTGATGTGGCGGGGTTCAGAGGCAGCACTCAGACGTAGAGTCGTTGAAAAAAATCACGCGGTGTGTGGAACAGCATTTACGTTTATAAGCTTCTATTTCATCCCAAAATCATCGATGAACTTTCATTACAGATGAAATTCCACTCTTAGCTTTATAATCAAAACTTTAATAAATATCCAGGTGATAGCGACAAGGGTTGTACAGTTTATGAAGACATCGTAAGTCCAAATGTTGGGGCCGGCAAAGGGCACTAAAAGCTTCCTAGGTTATTCGTTATACAAAGGAACGTTCGTTGGAGAATGGGGGGAGTACGAGGAATTTAATTATACCGAAAAATAAAGTGAGGTACTGAATGCAGCGATTAGGTTATTCCAACTAAATTCAACAACTCAATTCATTCAACAATTGGCGTATTAAGGGGTGTGACAAACAATAGGATTGACTGATTCAACAATTGAAATGTGATGTGAATGGCGTTCAGAAGCTCATCGCGTCCTCTGTCGCGGTCACGCGTCACTGCCACAAGATGGTCAATATATTTTGGGCAATTCATGCCCATGTTACTTGGCTAGGTGATAGTTTTATCTGAAATAATACTTGACAAGATGATATTTCACCACAAGATGGTAGTAAACTATACGTAAAAATTATTCGCGGCGAAGTGACACTAAAATATGTATTGATGTTAAATATAAAATGCTGTAGATTGGAGACGTGACGTTCAGGACTGTGAATATATCGATCACCTTAATAACTGATAAGCGTTAAGCTCAACAATCGTAAGTTACGGCAGCACCGCAGCACTGGTCAACCCTTGGCTCTCTCTCACGAGGTAAAAAAACACTTCATCGCAATACAATTGATTCAATATCCCCTTAAATCCCCTGACATTTTCCTTGCACATCCTCCCCAGATTTGCTTCCCCCATCACCTTGCTGGTGGCGAAGAGCAGCCCCACGCCCTCCATGCAGACCTGTAGCAGCCCGCCCTCCCCAGTCCGCATGTCCTGTACGGGGAACTCCCCCCCGAGCTCCAGCCCCGGCAGCGCCCCCACACCCCGACGGGCGGCCCGCTCCATGGCCTCCTTGATGCAGTAGTACAGGTCCTTGCACTGCCAGGATAAGGGGAGTACAGGTCCTTGCACTGCCAGAATAAGGGGAGTACAGGTCCTGTCTCTTATACACATCTAGATGTGTATAAGAGACAAGGACCAGGCTAATCGTGACAAGGTCTAGGCTAGTCGTGACAAGAAGGTCTAGGCTAGTCGTGACAAGAAGGTCTAGGCTAGTCATGACAAGGTCTAGGCTAGTCGTGACAAGGCCTAGGCTAGTCGTGACAAGGCCTAGGCAAGTCGTGACAATAAGGTCTAGGCTAGTCGTGACAATAAGGTCTAGGCTAGTCGTGACAATAAGGTCTAGGCTAGTCGTGACAAGAAGGTCTAGGCTAGTCATGACAAGGCCTAGGCTAGTCGTGACAAGAAGGTCTAGGCTAGTCGTGACAAGGTCTAGGCTAGTCGTGACATGAATGTCTAGGCTAGTCGTGACAAGAAGGTCTAGGCTAGACGTAACAAGGTCTAGGCTGGTCGTGACAAGGTCTAGGCTAGTCGTGACAAGGTCTAGTGGTACTCACGACGTCGTCGATGTGGTCGTCAGGTCGTGTGGTGGTATCCAGCGTGCGGTTGAGGCCGCCCACCACCAGCATCCTGTAGGTCTCGTCCTCCATCAGCTTGCGCACGCGGTTCAGCTTCAGCCATCCGATGCCCTCGCCCTCGATGACCTGCGTCAGCACCTGCAACACGGTAACGCTGCGTCAGCACCTGCAACACACCACTCACATCCTTGAGGAAGGCCTGTTCCCCTCCACTCACATCCTTGAGGAAGGCCTGTTCCCCTCCACTCACATCCTTGAGGAAGGCCTGGTTCTCGGAGGACGTGGTGGTGGCCGCGGCTCGCTGGTCGTGCGCGAGTCTGCTGAGCTCGACGCGTCGCTGCGCCGACACCGAGTGTCGGATCAACGTCGAGTTCTCGACCAGCCGCCGCCGCCCTGGGGGCGAGAGGGATTCAGAAGAGGCCAGTGGGAAGGGGCGAAAGGGCTTCAGATGGGGGCTGGGGACCAAGAGGTAGGGGCAAGAGGGCTTCAGAGGATCCGGGACCAAGGGGTAGGGGAGAAATTGAATCAGAGGACCACAAGGGAAAGGAGCAAAGGGATAAGACGCCAAAGGAATGAGAAGCCGATAGAAAATGGATCGATAAACCTAGGGCCTAATGCACACATGGGCAGGGGCATAAAGAAAAGATCAAGGGAAGGGTTCAAAACGAGAAGGGATCCGGGGAATACATGGGCACCAAGAGTAATTGTTACTCTTCAGTTACGCAGCGCACCAGTCAACCAGTTCACCAGTCAGAGATCATTCACGATACATTCATATATAGTAAGAGAACTTTCACGATGCATTCATATATAATAAGAGAACATTCCGCGAGGCATTTAGATTATGAGAACATTCATAAGGCATTCAGTGTAAAAGAAAATTTATGAGGCGTTCAGAGTAAATGATCCTTCAAGATGCATTCAGGGTGAAAAAACTTTCGCGGGGCATTTAGAGTAAAAAAAAAATCCTTCACAAAAGGTAACGAATGTCAGGAGTAGCTCGTAAGTGAAGTTAGAACTCTCAGTAGAGCAGTCTACATATTGATGGATCCTCTAGCACAGTTTACGACATATGGGGTGGACAAAGCGCAAGGCCGGTAGGTACTACACTTTTAAGAAAACCTCTAGCGAGGAATTGCCGAGAAAGAACCGCTGAGGTAGGGTGACATCAGGGCAGGTGGCCAAAATGGAAGGACCACAAGGGCACGATAAACATGAGAGCAAGTTTGGTAAAAGGGCTGGATTACTATGAGGGACTAACAGTTAACATGTGGGCAGGGTTGTCGAAGGGAAGGGCTGCCATTAGGGAATGGTTCCCTTGAAGGCAGGGTTACCGAAAATGAAATGTTACCACACGAGCTGGGTTGCCACGAGGCAAGGGGGTATTTCGAGAAAAGGATAACCACGAGAACAAGTTCATTTCCTATGTAGGGGCATTTTAAGAAGAGCATTGAAAGAAGGTACGGATTACTACACGGGAAGAGTTATTAAGAAAACAAGTTCGTCCCTGAGGAAGCGCAATCGCTGGACAAGGGTTACCTCGAGGGAAGGGTCCGAAGGGTTGACTCCTCTCCCTGGTCTTGAGGGCCGTTTTCGGAACGCTGACGGGGGCGGCGCTGGGGATACGGGGGGCGGGGGAGCCCTTGCTCCCTGTGGGATGGCACGTCGTCATTGGTCACTGCCGCAATTGTGTTGCCAACAACATCGTCAACTGAAGTCTCAGTCGTGTTGCCAATCGTCAATTAACGTCTCAGTCGTGTTGCCAATCGTCAATTATATAACATCTCAATCGTGTTGTCAACACAGTTTAACACCAACAATGGTACGACGCTCGAATGCGTCGGCAATTGTGACTGTATCAATCGTGTTGCCACCAGAATTGATCAACAAAATTGGATTGATCATTTCAAATTGATTGCCGTATCATCGGTGCGCACTGCTGTACGTGCGCGTAAAGACAATCAATCAGAGGCTGGAGAACTCAGCATTGTCGGTAAGTGTTGACAACATGACGTATTCAGCCAAAAAGTTACGAAAAATTGACGCAGAATTTGCCAGTCTTCACTTATCAGATGGCGGCAGAGAGATGTTAGCAACAGGTCTGATACTGTCATCTATATGCCAGCGTCTTCAGGCGCTTGAAGTCAATACTTTCATATGTCAGTTTAATCCATAGGAAGCTAACGCTAAACTTATCAGTGTCGGAGCTACAAGTCATAGTCACACGAAAGCCACTGTACACATCGCATGGTAAACATACATGACTCCCATACAAGCATTCATTCCCGAATCTGTACAAGCGTTCAACATTTTCTCCTTGTCCACCCCTCTATAGGAGAAGATATGGTGCCCATATAGCTGACGCATTATCTCTCCTAACTGACGCGTAATGAACTACTGCTCATGAACTGATTAACCTCTGAACGAAATTAGACTGATTATACGCTTCATCTGATAGGCAAATGTAACGTTTCGGTGTAGCATCTGAAAACCTCGCTACCTCGTCTTGTTTAAACATCAAACATCGCTACAAGACAGAGTGGGCTACCAGAAATAGGAAATTCTCGGGGGCAGTTTACATTAGGATTTGATGGTGTGAAGAGTGTGTTCGGCCTACATGTGAGCAACACTTTGTGACAGCAGTTGTGTTCAACAATTGTGTACAACTGTTGTATACAAGCCACTGTAAACAGCAGTTGTATACAACCCAATATGAACTACAGTTGAGAACAACCCATTGTGTACATCAGTTGTTAACAGTTCATAGGATCCAGCGGTTGTTTACAAACCATTGTGTACAACATTGGTGTACAACCCATCGTGTATAAAAGTTGTACCTTAACATATCATGTACAGCAGTTGTGTACGTACACCCCATCGTGTACAACAGTTGTATTTAACATATCATGTACAGCAGTTGTGTACGTACACTCTTCGTGTACAACAGTTGTATTTAACATATTATGTACTGCAGTTGTGCACGTACAACACACAGCAGTTGCCTACACCCCGTCAGTCAATGGTGATCAACATCATCATGACATGCATTCACCAGCACATTCATACTATGCATATTACGACGCATTGCTTAGCTCATGCGTTAATTAAGTGAGCAGTTCGGGACAACCATCTGCTGGTCAGACGCAATGTTAATACGAGTAACGACTTCGAGTTGTAGCTTGCAATGGAAAATAATATTTACGACTACCTGTTAAGCAGCGCTTAGATACTCATTCAGAGGCAGCGACCAAATAAATAAGTTGTGAACAAACACATGCAATGGAGACAAAAAGGAGAAATTGAGCAAGCAATACAAGAGGCCATACGAGCATGACGAAGCCAATTTCTTAGCCCGCCACTCTCACTTCAAACCTGCCGCTCGGCAGCGGTTATGTACTCACTTCTGGGTCCTGAGAGCCTGTCGGCGACCATGGCGCTCAGAGGAGTGGCAGAGAAGAAGGGGTCCTCTTCGGTCGGGTAGAAGGACGGGTATCGCGGCAGAGGATCATCACTCACCGAGTCTGCATCCGCCATTACAGTGCATTCACTGTAGCTCGGGGACGATGAGATGCAGTTCTCAGGGATGGACTTCAAGATGGACTTGCAGGTGTCGGGCGTTGATGGTGACTTGAGTTCAATGATCGGCTTGGTTGGTGAAGTTGGAGAGTCGAAAAGAGAAGCGTCGGACATAGAAGAGGTTAAAGCTGACGAACCGGCAAAATAGTCAGAGTCGTTGGCGATCTCAGATTCACTTTCTTGACTGGGGCTTCGGGAGAAATTCGGTTGGTCGACGGGCTTGATTTTGCAATCGTCCGATTGGTTACGATTTCGTTTCAGGGATAAGGACGAAAAACTTTTAAGTGCCATGGCGAGTCGAGAGGTTGGAGGATTAACGTTCGCCGGTGCATCTTGGACACCAGCGTTCAAAAGTTTATTTGGTGACGAATCCACCAACTTGTTGGAGTCAGAAGACATTATACCTTTTCCTTCTTCATTTTTAAGACACTCGTTCGTTTCATGCAGCTTACCATTTTCCAATGAGAGCTGAAAATCGTAAACGTTGTAGTTCAGATCAGTGCAGTTGAGACCAGACCGAACCCTGCCAATTCTAGGGGCAAAACCAGACCGGGTTGGCGACAAGCTCACCTCAACTGTGTTACTATCTGCCGTTCCAGTTTTGTTATCGTCAGCGTTATTGAGAACTTGAGCCTCCGCAATGGACGAGTCGATGGCATTGCCTTCTAGGGAATTGGGAGGAGTGTAGAGGGCAAAGGGGAAGTCGGGATCATTGATGAGGAAGACATCGGAAGGGGACGAGGAACCTGGTCTACTGAAAGATTCAATAGGGGGATAGTTGGGAGTGTATGTAGGAGGTGTAGTCGGTGATGGCGTGTTGGAACCTCTCATTTGCACATCTTCTGCCAAAGAGGCACCCGCAACAACAACAGATCCGCTTTCGGCTAAGGTTCCATCGGCTATTGAGGAGCCTTCTCCGCAATCAGCGACGGCACCAAATAGTTTCTCGGGGAAGGGAATGCTGCGTTCGTCGACGCCGTTAGAAAATGCGGAGCTGTTTGTCGTCATCGAAGAATAATCCGATGACGCGGAAAAGTATTCGGAGCTGAGACTTGCAGCACTGGACACCACAGAATCTAGAAGATCTGGTCGTTCTTCACCCTTTAATTCCGCTTTTGATAACGGCTTCTGAGAAGTGCAGGCAGCATCAAGGGCCTCACATTTGTCGCTCTGGACGTTGGTGCAGTAGATGTCGATGATAGGAGAGATGGTCGCTTCGTAATGCTCAATAGCGTTGAGCGAGTCAGGACGACCCGTTGCAATATCTGGAGTCATGAGGTTGAGGTCGTTCATTTGCCTCAGATCCTTTGTTTTGGTCGAGGCTTTGTTATCACGTTCTCCACTAAACGCAGTCGATGTTATTTCTAAGTTCAAATCTTTTTGTTTTGCGCACAATTTTCCTGTAAGTGGCTCATTGCATCCACGTTCGTGGGTGTCAGCTTGAGGGAGATACTCTACACGCTCCTCGTCATGTGTCACCCGACGAATCATGTTGACGAAGCTCAACGAAGAGTTTCCATTTCCTGATGCATGTCTCGGGTCATATCTGGCACAGGACACAAAGTCTGAAGATATTCTGGAATCTGTTTCTGCTACTGCGAAACCGTTCGATTGTACATCACAACACTTGATATCATCGTCAAAGAGCTCAGGAAGGTTTTTCTCGTTGTTCATGATCTCCTTCTCGGCCACCAAATCCTCGCTAGTGGTAAAACAACTCCCATTTGGCAACAGAAAGCGATCTTTATTAGATTTATTCAGTAAATCCGAAATTTTACTCGAGTTTAACGCACCAGGAACACTAATGATGGCAGCGGACACACTATTACTATTGACGGCACCGGATTCCCTGCCGATAACATCTGATGAATGAAGTTCATTCCATCCTAAACTAGCTTCGTATGCATCTCCCTGACTTGCAATTGTGGTTGCTGGTCCATCCAAGTCCGCCGCCGGAGTGTGCTTGTCATCGTGTCGTTTGTTTTGCAAATCTTTGTCCGCGGAGCCCATCTTTCCCTCTTCATTGAGGTCAAACTTTTCTTTTCCAGCGAAAAAGTAAGCTGTTCCCTCTTCAGCGCAGTCGTCAACTGTTCCCTCTTCAGCGCAGACTTCAGCGCAGTTGTCAACTGTTCCCTCTTCAGCGCAGTTGTCAACTGTTCCCTCTTCAGCGCAGTTGTCAACTGTTCCCTCTTCAGCGCAGTTGTCAACAGTTCCCTCTTCAGCGCAGTCTACTACAAGCATGCACGTCAAAACACGTAAATTAATTCAAAATAAATAGAACTGAGCGGAAAGACAACGCTGGCATGCTACGGCTACGATGATAAAATGAACAGTAATATGCATGTATAACTGCTATAAACGCAACGAAATTTCCGAAAAGTTTTAGCAGGTGCACAATCGTGGAATTTTCAGAGGTGAGGGTCAACTTAGGCTTAAGTCGGGAATTAAAATGCAATAACATAATAAATAAAAAATATGACATTCAGAGGTTCTTTTGGCAAAACAAGGGAGTCGAAATGACTAAAACATAAAAGCACTTGGAATTCATTTCTAGAGTATCAGAATTCTTTTCAATTCCAAAGCAGATCTACGGGGATTAAGGAGTGATAAATCAATTCAGTTAAATAAATTTAAACGGGATGCATTACTAGAGGAAGTAAAGGATAAAGGATACTGGACAAGAGACATGCTCACTAGTCGAGTATTGCAAGAGTGGAATGAACCCACACTAGGCACGATGATAGACAGCGTCACTCACCTGCTATTAAATAGCATAAAGACAACAGTACGATACGACAGAATACACTCTAGACAAATGACGTTAAAACAACGTTGATTACGAGTTGATATCGATGAAACAACGTTGAATTTCCAACATCAGATGCCAGGCGGGTAGTAGCTGTGCGCAGGCAACGTCTACTCACCAAATATATCACTGAAGAGACTCGACGTCTGCTGAGCGAAGTCGTTCAATTCAAAGCCCATGGACGAGAGGAAGTCTTTGGACCCAGAAGTGGGGACTTGCTGCCTTTGTTGGGTCAACAGCGGGGACTTTGGGGGCGGGCCCGCGCTGCCGGGTCCGATGATGATGCCCGTGACTCCGTGGGGTCCGATGGACCCTTGAAGAGCTGGGGGAACCCCGCCGCTGGGTCTTCGGGGAATAGTTGGGGGATTTTGGGGTCGGGGAGAGGAACTGCCTTCAGCCCCAGCATGGGCAGCACCGGCGGCACTAGAGGAACCTGCAGCGTCACCAGCACCAAAGGGCGCTCTGGCCGCAAGCTCTTCAGATCCTAAGTTAAAAAGGCAAAAAAATATGAACAAAACATTAAAAAGTACGATAATTCACATGAATGAATTAACCCATAATAAGAAGTTTGGTGCGTAAGTGCAAAGGTAATGAACCTCGCAGTCAGGAAGCCGAACGTAACAATACGGACACAGTGGCCGCTGCCATCACCTGGGGGCCTCTTGATGCTTCCAGGGCGACGAGGTGGCACAGGAGGAGGAGGTCCTGTCACGGAGACCTGTGACCTCAGAGGTGCTGGCGAAGTCGCTGAAGGAGGAGCAACACCTGAAGGAGTAGGAGTAGGAGAAGCAGCCCCTACAGTAGCAGCAGGCATAGCACCTGCAGTAGCAGGTCCAGCTCCAGAAGCAGGAGAAAGAGCAGCAGCAGGAAGACCTCCAGGCGCAGGGGAAGCAGGTTGTAAAGAGGGCCCTGCAGCCTGGAGAGGTTGAGGAGGGTTTACAGCCCTGGGGATGACGGGGGGAGAAGCTTGGGGTGCTGGGGCTGAGGAAGACTGTCTGGGGAGGTGGGGAGGAGGGGAGACGCGGCTGTTGTCTCTCAGCTCCAGCGCCTGCAAGACACGTGTCACGTTAGCGAAATTAACATCGATTGTTTCCAAATTATAAACGAGTTTATCAAACAATAAGAAAAATCCAGGGAGAATTGAAGCATTTTACGTGACTAACGCCTAACTTAAGAATGAGGGAGCAGATCTTGAACGATCTGAATCGAAACATCCTAACTTTAATAATTGGTTCAAAAAGGGTTGGGTGGGACAAAATTGTTTCACTGTTACGGGTTGTTGCTGCAACGTGTGCCGCGACCCGCGGCCATTACTGTTAATCGATCAAAAACGTACTGATTTAATAATATGAGATCAGATTATCGTGAATGACTCACGAGCAGCCAATGCACTCGAGTTGCCGCTCTCCAATAGTGAAAGTATAAGTATGGATAAACGACTTTTTCCAATAATTTTATTTTTCAACAAATAGCTGCCAAAACACATAAATGTTTATTTATAAAGGATATAATATTTTTGTACATAGGGCGGCAAGACAAGTACAGTGGCGTCTCGAGAACCATCGAGGGTGGGTCAACATTGAAGTTAGGTAACAATGGAGGTTAGATCAACATTGAGCGTGGGACACCATTAAGGGTGGCTCGTCATTAAGGGTAAGACAGCAGCGAAGATGGGACACCATGAAGGGCGGGTCAAGGACCCAGATTTTACCTTGAAGTTCATCTTAGAGAAGAAGCCGCCCTTCTTAGCAGCCTCCCTGGCGTTCTTGGTGAGGTCGGTGAGAGTGTGTCTGCTCAGGAACGAAATGTCGTCCAACGTCGACCTGCCAGCCTGTCGCGGGGTAAGCATTATTACGAGACTTCTTAGGTTTACATTTTTAATGTTACATGGTCGAGTTTAGAACGTTGTACTATTACTCCTATGTAAATTCTTAATTTTTAAGGTTACAAGTTATAGTTGAGGCAGTGGTACAATTACTACTTGTGAATTCTAAATTTTCATAATGAAAGCGTCCTCGTAGACAATACACCGCCTGGAGCTCTTCTTGAGATTCTGAATAGGTTTGTGCGATGTAAGTTCGATGCTGAAACGATCTTAAAAAGGGTCAGAAATATTTCAAAAGATGTTAAAAATGCGACTCAACTTTTGGGTTCATGGGAAATTCGAGCGAATAGAGAGAATAATTAGAGTATAACTGTCTGATATCCTTGACGACAAACTAAACATTTCATCGAGATATTTTTGGGGTCAGGTGAGGCAGAAAGTTAATTTTATTGCGAAAATCGGGAATCGGGATTGCCAACTGAGGTCGGGTAGATCCTGCACAGCTAACCATCAGACACTACGACAAGACCCAGAGTACAGACTATACTTGCAGGCGCTGAATATTGATATTCACTGAGGATTCAGGACAGCAAATGTAGAAACGCATTCGGGACCCCAAGTAGAGACATTCACAAGGGACACCTGCTGGGACACACTCACCTGGGACACCTGCAGGGACACACTCACCTGGGACACCTGCAGGGACACACTCACCTGGGACACCTGCAGGGATACACTCACCTGGGACACCTGCTTGCCGTGCTGGGACACAGTTTCCTTGGCCTCCTCGGCAGCTCTACGCGCCTGCGTTCCCAGCTGAAAGCACAACGAAAACTCAGCCGCAAATCCTAGCTATTTTTTAAGACTTAAATGATGAATACCGGAGTAACGCGAATAAAAAAATTGCAGCACTTGAGTTAAATAAAAAATTATACATTTTCAATTTCTGTGAGCCAAAACCAAACTGTCAAATTTTACAACTGCAATCGAAGTGTCAATCATGTCCACTCCTGCAATGAACAAATTTTTTCGTCAAGTCTTCGGCAACTATTAACTATTGTCAATAATAGATTTAAATAATCGTGTCTACTTACATTCAAATATCAATGATCAATGCGTTATTCCACGATACGTACAGCAGAGGTAACTGAGTTACACGTAACGCGTAAAACGTAACTTCACGTATCGTAACAAAGTGGGAAAAAAAACGGTGCGAAACTTCCCCGTGCCTTACTCAGGATCCGTGACTTAGTGGTACATTACTTAGCGCTGCAAAACTTAATAGTGCGCAACTTAGAGTTGTCAAAGTTAATGGAACGTAACATATAGCTGTATCATATCATAGTGATGTCGGTGCTGAAGTGTAGGCCTGATGTGGCCTGTCGCCGATTTTTGTTCTTTTCGTGACTTGTTCACAGAAGATCTAAAATCGTGTCATTAGACCGGATCTTTTCCAAACTGACCTCAGTTTGAAATATCTAATTAGACTTCTACCATGTTCGATTAGTGCTAGGCATTTCAAGTTTGAACATATATTTCAGCATAGCTTTATCTAGTCTGTTCTTTCTTGAACACGTTCATACTTGGAGCGCCAATGATGTCATCGGGTTGGCTGTTCCACATGTCGGTGATTCGAAGCGAGAAGAAATTTTGTCGCGTGGAGAAGTTGCAGCGCAGTTTTTTTAGCTTATAGCCGTGGCCCCTGGTGTTGGTTCTTGTTTCTAATTCTAGTAATCCTTCTGGGACCTTGTATAAGCCATGAGTATACTTGTATGCTTCAATGAGGTCCCCACGCAGACGTCGATAACTGAGGCTTGGAAGATTCACAATCTTTAATCTTTCTTCATAAGAATTGCCCTTCAAGCCTGGAATTATCCTTGTTGCGCGTCTTTGAACATTCTCTATTAAATTGTTGTCCTTTTGATCTCGGTGACCACACGACGTTTCCAAACTCTAGATTCGGGCGCACGACAGCAACAAACAACTGCTTCATCGCTTCTGCATCTAGGAACTCGTATGAGCGTCTGATTAGTCCAAGAAGTTTGTTGGATTTATTAACTTGCGTTTCAACATGCTTAAAAAATTTCAGCTCCTTGTCGACATAAACTCCGAGATCTTTTTCCACACTAGACTTTTCAAGCATTACTCTCCCGTTGCAACCATGTCTTCTCATACTGCAATCTTGCTGTTCATTGTTCTTCCCGAGGTGAAGTACTTTACACTTGTCAGCATTAAACCGCAGCTGCCACGAATTAGTCCAGTTAACTAAACTATAAACCAACTAAGCGGTACGTAACTTGGAGCTGCATTACTTGACGTTAAATAACTTAGAGCTGCAGAACTTAGTGTTGCGTAACTTAGAGCTGCAGAACTTAATAATAAGTGAAGCGAGTGCCTTACCTTGTCCATGTGCTGAGCAATGGACGCGTCGTCGACGCTCGTCTGCTTGACAACCTCGAGCTTCTCGGTGACCTGCGACTTGAACTGCTCCGTCAGCTGCACGAGACAACATCGTCAGCAGCCACATTACCACATACTACTCGGATCACTTATTTTATATATTTTACTTTGCTGACTACTACATCCCACTCGGCTGACTCATATATCCTACTTGGCTGACTCAATCACTCAGTACCAATATGTTAGCCACTGAAACATGCCTAATCCAACTGTACCAATGCGTCAGTTAAGCAGTTTTGGCGCACCCTGCTGTATTATTGACATCCCAACACATTAGTAGGCAGCGCCAACATCATCACTTCGTAACAGTTTGCCATACAAGAAAGAGAAATCAATTTTTTATGAATCAATTAAGGCAAAAACTTGTTAACCCAGCAATCACAGCGCATTTATCCAGTTTTCAGCACATGGCGGTTGAGACCAGCACATCGAAGTTGAGCTCCGACGCCAAGAGACTACGCACAAAATCTACCACCGCAACTCACTCCCTATATCACGGCATGACCGGACCTAACCCTAAACCAAGCACAACCTCAACCGAAGATTGCTAAGCAGTGTAACTACGGGTCAATTTTCAGCGTCAGGGGCGCTACCAAGAACGTGCAGGGAACGCAGGAGCTGCTACAGCAACAACCTTCTCCACTCGTAGTGGTGTACTTGTAAGCGAATATAATAAACGAATCAACTGTGGAGACGCAACCGAGTACAAAAATGCGCCTCAGAAACAATGTCCTTCCGGAAGGCAACCCTGAAGCCAAACGCCATCGCAAATAAGGAGTCAAGTTTGGGTCCGAGCGGGAAGTTTCGTACATGATAGATCTCGGTGACGTAATTCCATAATACCTTTATATTCATAGATTTGCTCAAGATTTAAATAACATCGTTTTCAATTTTTTCCTGTTTTTTTTGCAAGTCTCATCCACTTCTAGCCATCACTGTACAGTAAATTCGATGACCTCGTTCGTGCCATGCAATGACTTGATAGAACCATTCGAGTGTCCGTAATACGAGTACCAAAACTCGCTGCACGTGGCGGCCTAAGTACACACAATTAACGGCCAATCACTGACGGAGTTACGAACTATAAACAATTCATATTAGAATAGGCCTGTTCTCGTACTCACGAGACGTAAACTATCTGCTCGGCGTCTCTTCTCTCGGTTCGCTTCGAGGGTCTCTCGATTTTCTCATGAGAACGCAATGATCAGCTATCCTAAGTGCTCACTGGAAACCACCGTAAGACACACTTCTTGAAATTATCAATATTATCCACCACCACTCACCTTATCCTCCGCCCCTCACATTATTCACCACAAGTGACTTCATCCACCACTACTCCCTGTATCCACCTTGCTTACCTTATCCACCTGTGCGAGGAAGGATCCCTCCTGAGAGCTCTGCCTGTCCTTGCCGATCATCTTAGCAGAGGACGTGAAGGAGTCGAGCAGCGAGCTCTGCGAGGGCTGGCGGGAGGGCACGCCGCTCCCTGACGACGACCCTGCGCTCGACCCAGGACCCATGCCCGACGAGTGCCCGATGCTCGACGCCCTCGCCAGCACACTCGAGATCGAGGTCTGCTTCTGAAGCCAACATATTTATTTATGAATATAGCTAAGGTTTATTTTATGTAACTTTTTACTCTTTCTCGGTATTATTTCTTGGTTTGTTTTTGGGGTAAAAAAGTGAATTTTCTGTGAAACATTTAGGGCACCAGAAAAGCAAATTGATTACTTCAAGGTTTAGAAAATCACTTAATGCTTTTTCGCCGTACATGATTTAGTTTAGATTAGTTAGAGAGAAATGGAGTTAAAAAGGGGAGTTGAAAGGGTAAAGGGAAGTGAAAAAAGGAGATTGAAGAAAGAAGATAAGGAAGGCTGAAAAGATGGGAGTTTAAAATGTCGGAGGTTGAAAATAGATGAGTTTAGAATGTGAGCGGTTGAACAAAATGCTAGTTTAGGAGGTGAGGGGTTGAAAAGGAGGCAAAAGGGGTTGAATAGAGAAGGATTCAAAGCAGGGGTCGCAGAGCTACGGACCCCTTTGGAGAAGGTGCGGGGTCGCGGGGTGAGGGGCCGGTCCTCGCTGCTGGCGGAGGGGGAGGGGGAGGTCCTGAGGGCGGGGCTGTGTCTGCTGCCGCTGCTCACCACCGTCCGCGGCGTCGTCGTCACCGACTCGTCCTCGGGGGAGAACACCTCGTCCGTCCTCTCCTGGGGGCACCGTGTGGTACGTGGTACACGACACAGTGTGGTACGTGATACACGTCACCGTGTGGTACGTGATACACGTCACCGTGTGGTACGTGATACACGTCACCGTGTGGTACGCACCACACGTCACCGTGTGGTACGCACCACACGTCACCGTGTGGGACGTGATACACGTCACCGTATAGCAACACAAAGTTCACGATACACTCAAATAAATAGGTCTGCGTGAATACATATGGCGATGCAATCAATTGCTCTTCCATGGGTCATCCTGACACATTTTAGCCAAACAAATAAGCATATCTCTACTACATGCAGAAAATGTGGTCTATTTTCTATAAAATTGTTATATTTGGATAATTTGACGCACACTGACCAGAGCTTGTGTCCTGAGGGGGAGGGAGCGCAGCAGGGGGGGAGAGGAGGGCACGTTCAGGGGGAGGAGGGAGTCCACCTCAGCCAGACTCATCACCCCCTCCCCCACCTCCTCCTCCTCCTCCCCTCCATCCCTCCCCTTCTGCTGCTGCTCTCCTGACGACGACAAGGACGAGCGCGACGACGACGTGGACATTGACCCACGGTGACTCGGCGCTGCACACACACGTCATCAGTGTCAGCAGTGTACCGCTAACGTTAATGTTGTGATAAAAACACTAATATTAAAAACTATAACTATATAACTATAAGGCTAATCTAATATTCATAACTATAACGGATGTTCCCCAGCTGGCGGGGAGGCCGCCACTCCTCACCGGCGGCGGCGGGGATGTGGAGGGCGGAGGGAGGGTGGAAGACCGCCGCTGGGTCCAGCCCCGACGACAGCCTGCAGCAGTCTGCCCGAGCCTGCTGACCTGCACGCGGGACATGACCTGTAGTGGCCACCGGTGGACACGGTGGCGGACACAATGTCCGAGAGTAGGTTGTGGAAACAAGTCCTCATGTGTTTACCAGCAGAACTAGTTAGCTATTGAGTCCACGGTGTCACTGAGACCTTGTCATACAGCATATGTGTCACAAAGACACGTGATCAAGACCTTAGTAGTGGGCGGAAGGGGAGCCTATATAAGGGCTACCCCTACTAATCTTAAGTAAAGCTTTCGAAGAAGTTGATAAGCGCTCGGCGATGTAGCGTGTCGCTAGAGTTCTCCTACCTTACGGTCGACACCGTAGCTTATTCCTTTGTATCGTACAAATGTATTACCACCCCGTACACAAGATACATTATCTGCACAGATGTATCCTACTTATCCCTCACTACCTTAGTCAACGAACCCGATCCTCAGGTAGAGCTTAATATAATCAGCTCTGACAACACCCACCGATGGACAGGGTGGCGGACACAACACCCACCGATGGACAGGGTGGCGGACACGAAGTCGCTGAGGGAAGAGCGGCTGCTACTGGAGCTGCCGTCGCTGTCCTCCGAGTCGCTGCCGCTCTCGTCTGCGTCAGGAGGACATATTTAATTATTTGTGTATCGCATTATTAATTATTTATTTTAATTAGTTATTATTTATCATACTTATCAGTTAGCATTAGTTATTATGCAGACTTCCGTCTTGACTTCGACTCATCCAAGTTGCGTCGAAGTCATGGCTAAAGAAATTATGTATGCATTGATCGTCCGTTAGATAGAAATTGTCAAAACGAACGTTGTAAGGCAAACAATTATCAATTTATAATTCACATTCATCATATTATCATTCCTCATACTACTTTACATCATTTGTATTTCCTGACTAAATGTTGATCACAAACAACACCGCTCAGCCGATCAGGCGGCGCTATAGAACTGATATTTGCAACAGACGGGGTAACAGGCGACAAACAAGTGTCACCAACAAGACTCGCCTGCAGGTACAGACGACAAACTAGTGTCGCAAATGCTACTCGCCTGTGGGTAAGTTTTGGGCCGCAGTGGCCGTCTTGAGTGTGGTGCCCAAGGAGCTGCCCTCGGACCACACCCTGAAGGTGACCACATCGAGGTCCTCCGAGTACCACTTGGGCTTGTCGCCGATGAGGCGAGGGTCGCACACGCCCGTGTTGATCCTCAGGAACGTCATGTTCGAGGGCGTCAGCGACCACTCCGCCAGGAACTCCACCGCCTGCAGGAAGGGTAGCTTGAGTGAGGGTAACTTGTGTGAGGGTAACTCGTGTGAGGGTAACTCGTGTGAGGGTAACTTGTGTGAGGGTAACTCGCGTGAGGGGTAGGGTATGAGGAGGTCCACTATTTTCACTATTTTAGGGTGAGTGTTGACTGGTACGAGGGTGAGGGAGAAAAACGTTCCTCAGGGATGTAAAGCTTTCGCTGTCATCGTACTTGAATTAACCCGCATCTGTGATCGATCCTGCTGAGACCGGGCGTGGTCCCTGGACTCACCTGGGCCCTAGCAAGACTCCTGGAATAGGGCGTGGTCCCTGTACCCACATAGGTCCTAGCAAGACTCCTGAGGTAGGGCATGGTCCCTGCACCCACCTGGGTCCTAGCAAGACTCCTGAGGTAGGGCGTGGTCCCAGCACCCACCTGGGTCCTAGCAAAACTCCTGAGGTAGGGCGTGGTCCCTGTACCCACATAGGTCCTAGCAAGACTCCTGAGGTAGGGCGTGGTCCCTGCACCCACCTGGGTCCTAGCAAGACTCCTGAGGTAGGGCGTGGTCCCAGCACCCACCTGGGTCCTAGCAAGACTCCTGAGGTAGGGCGTGGTCCCAGCACCCACCTGGGTCCTAGCAAGACTCCTGAGGTAGGGCGAAGTCCCAGCACCCACCTGGGTTCTAGCAAGACTCCTGAGGTAGGGCGTGGTCTTGGGTCGGGACCGCAGGAAGGAGTTGATCTGGAAGGCGACGACAGGGCGCGGGTAGAGGCGTAGGGTGCGCGTGTGCTCCGTGAAGTTCGCCAGCAAATTCTGCGAGTTGAAGAACCGAACCATCGCCACGCGCGTCGCTACGTCCACTGAGTCCACGTCGTTGCCTGGGGACGGGGGGACGTGGCTTAGAGAAGGTGAGGGACACGGCTTAAAGAGGGGGCGGGGTGGGTTTGAGGGGTCAGGAATACGTGTTTATAAGAGGGCGGGAGGGAGTGGACCGTGTTCGGTAACGGGTGTTTGAGAAGTGTGTTAGAGGGGATGGGGGGTAGTATTCTTTAGGGGATGTGAGGACGTGATGTAAAAGTAATGGGTTAATTATTAGTGGTCCATGCGAGATAATAGTCTCTAAACTCACGGTTACTGGCCCATAGCTACGATGAACTTCACGTATGCGACGCCAGATCTCACCGTAGACGAAGGGGTCGGAGGAGACCCCCACGGGGTTTGGGGGCGCCTGGTGGGGATGAGGGACGGCAGTCATGCTCGCCAGGGCCTGAAATCATTCAAACACTTAAATAAAATAACCATTCTATTTTCATTAATTAACCTCGCTATATTTTATACTATTTACGTTTATTTGTTTTCAATTCACTATATTTAGTTTTCATTTTACGTTCATTTATTTAATTACGTAACATCAACAACGACATTAACACCTGACGCGGTCAGATCAAAGACGGCATTACGAAACGACAAGAAGAAGGAAAATTGGTGGGCATTGCGGGTGCCAAGTTGTTTAGTGGGATAATTATTGACTAAACTACCCGCTGAAGGTGAAACATCTTCATTCAGCACGATAAATTATGTCTGAGATTTGAGGGAATGAATGGCTTGAGGGGAACGAAGTTAGACTGCGTGAGAGTCTAATAGTTAAGGAAACTTAATTAGTTTAGGGAAGAAAGTATTTTAAACATAGGGTGAGAATTTGATCAAATAAAGAAAATGGATAAGGAAGTGGGCAAAATATTTGAAATACTTGAGTATAATTTACGAATGAGAGGAAGATATTTAACTGGAGTTAGGGGACTGAAGTAAGAGCGAGGGAGTTAGGCGTGAGAGGGTAGTATGCAATGGAAGTGAGTACAGAATGCATACACTGGAAGTGAAGGTATAATGCACGGGAAATGAGGGTAGCATGCAATGTGAGGGTAGCATGCAATGTGAGGGTAGCATAAGAGGTAAGCAAGTCACAGAAGTCACACACCTCGTCCATCTTGTGCAGCGCCTGTGGAAATCAAGACTCAAGAGGAGGTCGAGTCAAGAGGCAAGAGATGGCCGAGTCAAGAGGAGACCAAGTCAAGAGGCAAGCGGTAGGAAGAGGAGTGGTGCCACAGACATGCAAGTTAAGAAAAAGAGCCCTCACTTTAGGTTCACATTGATACATAAACAACATGAAACGTTAGTGAAACGCATCCTACATCACAATCAGGGAAGGCGTTTTCTCTGTATAATAGCCGCAATGTTCCGCAATGTTCGCAATTTAAAAATGTCATTCTCAATGTTCTAAGCATGTGCTGCATATTGGTTAGAATAAACTCACAGCGATGACAACTTGCTGCTAATGGAGATGCAGGATAATCACTTTAACAATATATGAGGGAAACAATTAACGATTAAAGGTTGAGGGATATGAAATGCAAGTAAGACACAAAAATTACAAAATTTTGATTGAGTGCACGTGTCAGAAAACTTCTAGGCAAAATCAACTATCAAAGACGTTAAGTATATAAATCATTAGTTAGCTTAAATCGAGAATTTACTAAAAACTTGAAGCTCAAAAAATTATCATTAAATTTTTCTTTGCTTCCAAATTCATGAAAAATATTTATGGACGCTGAGCCACGACAAAGGACGCTCTAAAACAGAGAACTGTGAGTTAGAACTGCTTAGTACTTTTTATTGCTCAGAAGGCAAAAGTCGGTACTAATATTAAAAAATAACAGATAAAATACAAGCTAAATCGTTAGGACTGAAGGAACTTCTTCGAAAAATTTACGAAGAAAAAAAAATTTAATTGAAAAAATGCATGAAGGACGAGAATCAACAAAATGTTAATAAGATTTGTACAATTAGAATAGGCGAATGGACATGACACTATGACTAATGTACTACAGACAAGACGAGATGTTACTAATCTATGATAAACGTAGTTCATATAATCATATCAACATTATCAATTAGAGTCATATCGTATCAATTAGCGTGAAATTAAGTAATCACGTAAACATTGCCGCAGAAATCCAGGAATGTCATCATAAATCAACGAGACTAAACCATAGTTGGAAAATGTGTCTAGAAAAATAAAGGAATGGTTCGACGGATGAGGGGACCGGGTGAGGGGACCGGGTGAGGGCGGGTGAGGGGACCAGGTGAGGGCGGGTGAGGGAGAGGGCGAGTGAGGGGACCGGGTGAGGGGACCGGGTGAGGGGACCGGGTGAGGGGGGGACCAGGTGAGGCCGTGAGGGGACCGGGTGAGGGCGGATTGGATGGAGAGGACCTCACCCGCGAGCTGAGGGTGAGGTCGAGGAAGCGAGCGCCCCACAGTCGCCTGTGTAACTCAGCGCTCTGTTGTATTATGGTTATAATAACAACTTGTTTGTATTTTTTGTATTGCAAGATGACTCATTCGAATTTTGTTTGTTTAGTATAACATTTGTATAGAGGTTTGCGTTAACGGCAAGCACGTCGGGGGGCAACATGAAACATGCAGAACATACGGAGTAGAAAACATTTAATGTTGCACAATGAGAAAGTGCTGCGGTATGTGTAGGAGGGAACATGCGGCATGCGGTGGAGACAGCGAGCGTGGAGTGTGTCCATAAGTGGAGACAGCGAGGAGACAGACACAGCGTTACTTGTGTAGTACATGTACAGCACACAGCTTTATTTGTGCAGAATACGTACAAAAAAACGCACACAGCCACACTAGTGCATACCCTACACAGATAGCACATACAGAGCCACTACACAAATACTTAGTATAGCAATAGCACGCACACAGCAGTGTTGCAGCACGTATGTACAGCACACAGCTTTTACATTGCACTATTGCGATATAGGTATTGCTATAGTGAAATATATCGCACTATAGCAACAATATCTTGCATCCTGATCTAATTGGGCCCTACTGAAGGGAGTATCTGTGCTACGTGCGCTCTCTGCTCGAGCTGTGGCTCTAAAGTAGCGTCACAATATAGACAATGACGCTAAGTAGGACAATAAAGTAGGACAATGATACACTAATGTTTCTGTCCGCCAGCCATCGCAGTGTAGGTAAATGCGTGCGTCAGGTTGTCCTAATAGAGGCCAGCTCTGCTACAGCAGAGAGCGGGCACAGCACAAACAAGCTTTATGAAAATCTGGGTCAGGGTGACCCACACAGGCGTAAAGTACTTCGTTATTTGGTCAATGAGATTGTGAATACCAACAGTTTCACACAGTCAGTTTTCTGAGTGTGATTGGCAACAAGATAGGGACACATAGGGAGTTAGAGGGCGAGGGGAGGGGGAGAGAGGTGAGGGATTTGGGTGGGGAAGGGGGGGTGGTATGAGGGTGTGGGGAGGACCTGCTTGAGGTGGTCCCGCAGGAGGGATGCCTCAGGCTCGGGGGGGTCGGGGATGGGGTCGTGGGCGGCAGGCTCCAGGACGCGGTTGCAGTCCAAGTCCACGAGCCACACGTCGTCAGGCAGGCTGCGGGTCAAAATTGGGACAAACTTTGGTACACTCAATGTACATTGAGTGTATCTGTACAATATTGAGTACAGTACAGTCCTGGTCCCCAACAAGTAGACAATGTACATGTAATGAGTATTTGTGTAAATGAGTCAATACATTCACTATAAGTCAATAATTAATAGGTCAACTAGACGCGGGGAATTATAAGTGCGTCAAACACACTGTAATTGGACAGACGCTGGAATTCATTCAGCAGTGAGTTGCATTCACTGTACTCAAGTGTGTATTAAATTGTACTGTTAAGTACACTTGCTTGTAAGCGATTGTACTTAATTATACACATGATGTTGCGTTCAACCCAAAGGCTCATAAGAGAGGGCCAATACAAAGCCAATGACTGAATGTAATTATCAAGATAATAATTATATAAAATAATATTCCTAAAAACCATATAATATTCCTAAAACACATTATATAAATAATATTTTTATTGAAAGAAATCATGTAAATAATATCAGTATATTATTTCAATATCAGTATAAAGCAGTAATGTAATATCATCTGCATCATAATATTTCATAATAATATCCTCTGCATCATATAATATCAGTAATATAATATCATATTACAAATAATATCAGTGTATATTAGTAATAATAATGCGCAGGCGTCGGTACTGACTTGAAGTTGCGCTTGCAGGGGAGGAAGGACGCGGGGATGCCGATGATGTAGGGGGTTGGGGCGAGCAGCAGCTGCTCGGAGCAGCTCATGCAGGTGGGGAGCAGGGGGATGACGGGGAACATGTACTCCAGGGGGTAGATGAGCGTCACGAACCCCAACACGCACATGGACAGCGCGTTCACGTCGCGTGACTGCATGATCACCTGCGCGTGATGTGGGTGGTTAGGGGTGCGTGGCCATGGGGCGGGGCAAGGGGCGGAGGGTGTAGGGCGTGGTACGTGGCAGTGGGGCTTGGCCAGGGGCGTGGCAAGGGGGCGTGGTAAGTGGGCATGGCAAGGGGGCGAGGTAAGTGGGCGGAGGGGCGGGGCAAGGGGCGTGGCAGTGGCACGTGTCAGTGGGGCGTGTCAGTGGTGCGTACAGCTATCTAACATTTATTGCACAGCTACATTACAGCTGATGCTGATGCACCACCTTCTGCTCGAGCACGATGAGGTTGATGACTCTGAGGCAGGCGTCGACGCCGAGCAGCTCGAGGGGAAGGTGCAGGGGGAAGTCTACGAGGGAGAAGCGGGTGTGGTCTGGGAGACTGCACCCCAGCGGAGGATGTAGACTGGGAGACAGCAGCTCCAACTGCCGGGGGTTCATAACAAGATTATTTGAGCTGCTCAGTGTATATTATTTACTTCAGTATTGTTAAATACTGATGAGTGTATTTAATACGAGTAGGATATGAGAAAAATTAGGGGACGGGCGGGGTAGACTCCTGCGTTTGGTATTTTTTTTAATCCGAGACGAGACGAGACGAGACAACAGGCTCTGTCCCGGTTCGCAATAAAAACCGGGACAATTTTCAGCCTTCCGTTGGAATTCCGGGACGATACCGAGACG